CCTTCCATGACCTTGGAGCAGATGGACAAGAGGGATACCGGGCGATAGTTTGCTGGCAGGGAGCGAGAGGCCTGCTTGTACACTGGTACCACATTCGCTGTTTTCCAGGCCGCTGGCTGGACACCGGACCGAAAACAGAGCGAGAAGAGAGTTGACAGGGGACGTGCTAATTCATGGCGAGCTGGAATTTGGTACGGGCCCGTAGCCTTCCCTGGGTTGAGTCTGGATAAGTGTTAACGGACACTGGGAACCCTGAAGTGCACGTCCATGAGCTGATATGGTGTAGGTGGAATATGGTCTGGAATGTCAGTGGGACTCAAGTCGTCACCACCAAGACTGCACTTCTGCGAGAAGTAGGTACCGAAGCACTCAGCCTTGGAGCGGGCTGTGAGATGTTCACGCTGGTTGGAATCAACAAGCGTAGGAATGTCAGAGTGTCGTTCCTTCCCGGCGGCGGCTTTAATGGTACTCCACCACTGTTTGTCCCGCAAGTTGCCTGTTCGAAGCTTCTGCTTGAGGTGTTCCTCCCAGGAAAGCTGGGCTTGCTGCGGAGTTGACACAGCATTGGTAACTGCCCGGACATAGGCTGCTTTCAGTGTCTCACTGGCTTTTGAGCGGCTCCACCTCTTCCACGCTGAATGCTTGTGTGCGATTGCACTACTACATTCCGGCGTCCACCACCTGGGATCAGAAGCCCTGGTCACAAGTTCCTTGTGAGGAATAAACCGGTGCATACCATCATATACTCTAGACGATATACTAGCCCATGCGGTGTTAGGATCATCGCTGGCAGTGGTCATAGCTAGCCAGGCTGTGGAGCGGTAAAACGCTCTGAGCCTTTGCCAGTCAGCCTTCCTGTAGCGCCACACAGTCCTGAATGACGATTCCTCACACTGGGGGAGCACACTGGAAAAGTCTACGGTGATCGTAGAGTGATCCAATCGGCCACATGCACACCTCTACCTCTACCGGTACGAGCTCGTACATATTATTATACATGTCATCTACCCGATACAGCTGGCGGAGTGGAGTCTTGTTTAGAAATAGATTGACAGCATGACACAAGGTGGAGGACACTGTGTTCGGAAACAGTGACCTTACTACAACCTTCCACGGTTGGCAGAGCCCTGGTCCATTAGGACCATTTGAACCATAATTATGGGTGTTGAACCCGGTTCTGACCCTCATTATGCTAGGGGAGTTTTAGACTTCTCCTTATGTCAGTCGTGTATTCTTTGATCGCTCCTGGATGTCGTCCTGATAGTCATGTACATGTACATGTAGCTACTTTAACCTGAATTGCTTTTCCTAAATCTTCTTTTCTTCCAACTTACTTCTGCCCATGGCGTCCTTCTCTCAGCTCGTCAGCTGTCAACAGTTACTACGGCCGTAAGGTCACTGTTTCCGAACACAGCGTTCTGACTTCTCCACCTTGTTTCATGCTGTCAATCTAACGAAATGTGTGAACTATAGCAAGGTGCATCTCATACTACAGTCTTGTACTAGTTTTGGGCTAGTATTGGGTTACTACACTGTAATATAATTATAATACTGAGTGGAGTCTGTAGCTGAGTACCGGTATGAAGAACTGTAACTGTGGCCTGTATATCCACGCTCGAATGCGTCAAGGCAGGTGCTTTTGTTAGATTTGTTTTGTTTCATACGAGTACGAGGTGATTTGGTCGTGCAGTGTAAAATGTCATTTTTTCCGCAGCAACTCCTATACCTAGTCCTACTCCTACAGGTAGCAAGCTACCATGCATACCAAGGGCGAGGACTCCCTGCCCCAAGTGGCAAGTAGAAGTGCTATCCAGTACGTCCGTTGTGTCCAAAAATGGGGATGATCCCACTTTGGATAGTGCCTTTAATCATGTCCTACTTTCATAGTATACTCCAACTTCTCTCTTATCCGCACCGCGCTTCCTCTCTCACTAGGTCTCTGTCTGTCTGTCTGTCTCTCCCTCTCTCTCTCTTTCTCTCTCTCTCTCTCTCTCTCTCTCTCTCTCTCTCTCTCTCTCTCTCTCCCTCTCTCTCTCTCTCTCTCTCTCTCTCTCTCTCTCTCTCTCTCTCTCTCTCTCTCTCTCTCTCTCTCTCTCTCTCTCTCTCTCTCTCTCTCTCTCTCTCTCTCTCTCTCTCTCTCTCTCTCTCTCTCTCTCTCTCTCTCTCTCTCTCTCTCTCTCTCTCTCTCTCTCTCTCTCTCTCTCTCTCTCTCTCTCTCTCTCTCTCTCTCTCTCTCTCTCTCTCTCTCTCTCTCTCTCTCTCTCTCTCTCTCTCTCTCTATCTCTCTCTCTCTCTCTCTCTCCCCCTCTCTCTCTCTCTCTCTCTCTCTCTCTCTCTCTCTCTCTCTCTCTCTCTCTCTCTCTCTCTCTCTCTCTCTCTCTCTCTCTCTCTCTCTCTCTCCCTCTCTCTCTCTCTCTCTCCGCCATTCCTCTCGCCCCCCCCCTCTCCCATGGTGCTTGCTGTGTACGCCGATCCCGAGACCCTTGGTCGGGGGAGTCCACTGCATCTCACCAGCGCAGCTCATGTAGCGCCTACACACCCATTGTTGTCTTTTTTGTTTCGTCTTCGTTTTGTCTCCCCCTTCTTCCGTAAATAATAATAATAATAATAATAGGTATGTGCAATGTGATAAAAAAAAAAAAAAAAATACCAAGCCTTCATCATCCCTGCAGGCTGTACTGCTGTACAACTCTGGTACGTGGGCGGTTACCAAGTCAGCTCAGGAGCGACTGGACTCCTTCCATCGGCGTCAACTGAGGTCGCTTTTAAGTTATAGGCATCAGGTGGCCTCAGACGATATCGAACAACGCACTATACGCCCGATGTGAAAGCCAGCCGATCAGTCACACCATCAAGATATTGCGATGGAGGCTATTCGGACATGTCCTCCGTCTGTCCGACAGCACACCAGCCGTCCAGGCAATAGTCAGCTACTACACCAGCAAGGACCTCAAGGGCTGGAGAGCACGCCGAGGACCAGCCTGCCAGGTACATTATCTGCTGACTTGGAGGCAGCAGATGCCGGAAAGCTGAGTAGTCTGGAGGACTTGCACAGAATCAGGAAGATTGCAGTGGATAGGGCCGAGTGGCAAGCTCTGTGTCAACGGGTGACAGAAAAGGATCTGTAAGGGATGGATGACACTGCAATATCTGTCTTCTTCTCAACGTACAAGTACATGTAACCTTGTATGTTTGGATGGTGCCTTTGTTGCTGATCCACCACACCATCACACCACCACACCATCACACCATCACACCATCACACCACCACACCATCACACCATCACACCATCACTCATTGCTCTCTACTGCATTGTTCACCCACCACTGACTTTATACTTTTGCGGCTCCTTTGCCCCTTTTCTTCAGATTCGCGCTGTTTTGGTTCTGATACAGTGATCGTTTGATTTTTTCCCACAGCGTATCATTTGTTATCCTCCTGCCTTCGTTGTCCAGCACAAGCGAAGAAGTGGACCTATCGGTCGACTTCAACGCGAAAAATGCACATAATAATAATATGGATTTGTGGCCCGGAAATCACAACGCCTTTGCGACACGATGCTTGTCAAGTATAATGTAGTGCGATAGTACGAGAGGATCTCCTTGCTGGATTCTTGTCTATCCTTCTTTCTTCTCTTTTTCTTTATTCCTTTCTTTTCTTTTCTTGCCGTGGTTGGCTATCACCCCTCTCTCGCACTTTGCGTGCCAATTGGTCATGGCCCACGAGTTGAGTGAAAAAATAAAAAAATAAAAAGTAGTGCATATTTTACCGGAATAGAGGAACCATCCCGGAGACCTAACGTTACATCCTCGTTGATTCTTAGCACACCAGTGACGTCATGACACCACCCGCTTCACTACGCCTACCTGGATTCAGGCATCCAAGTGCATCATGCACACAACCATGGCACATGACATCGGAGAACTGAAGGAGCCCCTCACAGTCACACGTCTAACGAAGTGCGCTATCCGCGGCTTCTTCGGTCTGCCACCGTGGTCGCGCACGAGCCCGATCTTTGAACAGCTCCGCCTCACCACCCTGGAGGACATGTTTAACATTAAGCTCCTCATCTTTGTCCGTCGTTGTCTGTTCTCCCGAGCTAGCTCCCTCTTCACCAGCTTCTCGGGGAGCAGCACATCACCTCGTTCGAGTACCATTTTGGCCCGGTCCTGCGGGTCGAGCGACCATGCAGTTCATCGGCGCAGTCCTGTGGAACCAGCTCCCGCCTGATCTCCGTTCCGAGCCCAGCCACCTTCAGTTCTGTGCCCTGCTAAAAGCGCATCATGGGTCCGTTTAAATGCTTTTCGGCTAGTGTGTTTCTGTGGTATAGCGGACTGAAGAATAGTAAACGTGTTTTGCAATAATATGTATGAAGCTATTTTGTATATAGTATGTTCCCATTCCGTTTTTGCTTTGGTGTAGCCCTGAGGTTGATTGCTTATTTATTTCTAGAATTTTCTACCCTTCCTCTCTCCATACTTCTGTCCCCCCCCCTCTCTCTCATTCCTTCTGTCGTCCACATGTATCAAAGGAGGCGAAATCGCCTGTTTGTGGTGCGACGTTAAACAAACTTCTACAACAACAACAAGTGGCGAGGTTTTCTCTCTTGGACATCTTGCGCTGAGCCTAACCGTGACTTCGCATTTCTACATGCTTCTGAACTGCGCTCCTAGCCACAATGATCATAAATGCTCTCTAGCCCTTGCTCTTCTGTTCCAATGAAATCTAGATCATCCGCATACTAAAGTTCTTGTAGTAGGAGGCCGTCAGGAGCCTAGGAGGAGAGATAGTTCTGATGCCTCGCAGTGCGCTCTCAAAGTAACATGACCACATTCTGTTTAAGACTGTCACCCTGTAGTGTGCCAACGCTCGACTTTAAAAAAAGGGGATGTTGTTTCGAAAGATCTATGCCGAGCCTGTACAGAGACCATCGCTTAGTCTCAGCATTGCTGCTGAGGGTCAAAAAAAGTGAACACCACATCAGTTGTAGCTCGGGCCCCGTCGGTACGCCCTCTGGGATGAAAGGAGGCAGTTCTCCAACTCTGAGGAGATCCTTGTCAGAGTGTGGCCGAAAGATGTTTCCGCGCACACTTGAATAAGGCTATGGGCCCGCCGCCGTAGACTGGTCACTGGGACAGGGTCCTCTTGACTTTCCTGGCTTCTGCAAGGGCATGAGCAACCCTGAATCGATGGCAGAATCTGGTGATGATCGCTCTAGTGACCTCTGGAGGATCTTGACCGTTTACGACAGATGATAGGCCCGGGGGCACACCATACTTTAGTAGCTCGTTGTGGACACTATCCGGGCATGGGGAACGCCTATTTTTCAGCATGCTCATGGCCCTGCAGACCTCCAGATCTGCAGATTTCAGAGCTGATCTAGCCTCGTTACAACAGCAGGTGAAGCTGAGTAATGAATGGAATCTTTTCTCATCCTCCAGGCCTAGCTCACGACCAACAGTGGACTAATGCCAGGAGGAGTTCCATTCGACGTCACGTTCAGTGGGGCCACCTGCTAACGTGACATCATACTCTCCTAACACTCGATCGTACTCTCGTGGATATGATAATTATCATCTTGGCTGCAGTGATCAGTTAATCCATACAAGTCTGAATGCACAAGGCACGGCCACGGATCAACGTCTGCCTTTTTTTTTCTTTTTTTTTTTGCCGCTCTGCGCGTCCAGGAAACTCCTCCGCGCCTTTCTGACTGCAAGATTCTCAGCGACGAAGTTCACCAAATCAGTGTAGGGTCTCTTCACTCGGTAGAGTCGAGTTACGCTAGCTGTACAGTAAGTATCGTTTATAAAGTGACCGGATATAATGATATACCGGTTATAGTGATAGAACACGTCAAAATCAAAATCAAATCAGAAAAAATACAGCTAAAATATCACTATATACACTATTATCGGCTATACCGATATATCGCTTATTGTGATGGACTTCAGGAAGCAAACCATATCAAATGTACATGTACAGGAAAATATCGCATATAATGATCAAGAGTGATCTTTCTGCATGCTCTTGTCCGTTTCTGGCTGTGTTGCCTCTCACGATGATGTTGCCAACTCACGTACACAGCCACTCATGTCTATTTCTGGCTCTACGCAACTCGTTGGACACCGAGTAGATCTACGTGAGCACGGATCCAGCTCAGGCTTTTTTTGGAGAACACGCTGAAGAAGCAGCCATGCCACATGATGTATCGAAGTTCTAGTACATGTACATGTACAGTCTGTACTCGTACTGCACTGCCATGCACTGCTCTGTGTCATGCACCGGTACACAGACCGCGGAGCATGCATGCACTTTCAGCATGCTTTTTCCAGCGTGTACGCATCATTTCATGTGCAGTCATGTGCCATGTGTCGGTCAAACATGCAAATCGGCTATAGTGATGCACCGGATATAGTGATACATTTTCGAAAATCAAAGGGGCACGTTATATCCGATATTTACTGTACTTGTACTCCCGGTGCCAAACAAATTCACGGTTCCCGTAGGACTCAGCTGGAAGCCGAGTTTTCCGCATCCGTAGAACCGCCACCACCCTCTAGGATCAAGGCGCAGATGCGGTGGGAGGTGAGTAGATCAGACCCACCACAACGTGGTCAAAGATCGAAGTCCCATTAAACTGCATCCATGCCAAGAGCCAGGTTAATCGAAACCCTTGAAATGTGTGTGGCAACATCCCAAGACGAAGTATGTATGTATGTATGTATGTATGTATGTATGTATTGTTGTTGTTTGTATTCTTTATTTATATATGTATGTATAACTCATAATCACAAGGTGATCGTAGAGGCATTAATCAGCGAGAGAATTGTGAATGATGTCTCTGAATCCAACTCTATCGTGTGCTGCATGAGAGAGAGCATGCAAGGGAAGACCCGTCCAACTTTTAATGTTAGAAATCCATGATGTCGCGGGCCTTCCTCTCGGTCGAGATCCAGGAGTTGATCCTTGCAGGAAGGGCTTGGAGAAAACGGCATGTCTCGTAACATGGCCAAACCACATCAACTTAAATTTCTTGACTTCGTTCGCTAGCCGCATCCTTGCTCCGATGATGCCATTGATTTCTTCCAGGATAGATTGTTAGGTACGCTGTCGTGGTATGTTACTCCTAAGAATCCAAGAATCCATATTAGCATCCATATTCGAAGAAAATAGAAAGAAAAACAACTTCCCTGCCTGACCGTGTGCACAGAATCATACTTTTACCCTGCCACGACTGGCAGGAGGATGTGGGCTGCACAGTGTACTCATTAATTACTTGTTTACCCGTATACTTTGCGTGCGCCTAGCTGGAGTCCCACATCCTTTTATGAATGTATATTCGCCCTGGCCACGTGCCAGCTGGTGAAGACACTCGCGAGTCAGGTCTTCAGGATGAAAACTAGTATTCGGATCTGTGCAGAGAAGAAGGGTTAAACGCGAATCACAGGAGATAAGATAGTTCTTGCAACAGGAAATCCAGGGTGCCAACCGCCAAAAGAACCCAGAAATACCGGACACTGCCAGCTGTCGACATGTCTGCTGTGGGGCTGACTGACCTAGTCATGAAGGACGAGCTGTTGTTTTCTTAGTGTAGTGGTGCCCCGATTACATACTACACCCTTCATGCTGCCCTAGCTTTGCAAGCTACACTCTACAGACTGCAGATCAGGTACCGTACTAGTAGTAGTAGTCATGTAGTAGTACCGTCCACAGTTATCAGCCGGATTGTCTACAATCATGTAGATTGCAGATTACCGGGCCGGGGGTATAACATTTTCATTTAAGCCGGCACACAGTGCGATTCTCAGCGATCAGGAAAGAGGGTGGCGAAGGATAACAGAGTGACTGGTACATTTTGTCTTGGGCCAGAAACTAGAGGAACAGTGCTCTCCCCAGCCTGGAATCTTTCCCTGGCAGAATTATATTGCCTGAGCGGAAGAAATGGCCGTAATGGGGTCGGGAATTGGCGCTTTCGTCTGTCTTTCTGTTTACCTGTTAGCAACGGACAACGTCGCTTTAGCCGTTAGCATGGAAACACTTGTGCATCAAGATGGGGATCAAAAACAGGAGGCAGACATTTTGGGAAATCCTGGCGATTCAGTATTGCGGCCACCAGCAGCACGCCGTTGGTATGGCCGTCTCGGACCAGATGGAGCGACTCTACAGTCAATAATGGTGGACCTACTCGGCCGTGGGGTTTCTCCTGGCAGTGATGAGTCCACGGACGATGATAATTTTAGGGTTCCCTCTCTTCTTCTACCGACCATCTCAAATCCGTTCCCCCAGTATCGTGATAACTTGAAAACGTCAAGTCAACGGGCCTACTTTCGACCATTGCTTTGTCCAGAGCCCATCACTATCTCCGAGCCTGGTCTAGCTCCTTACCAGGTTCTAGTATTTCTCTCCACCGCCCCAGAAGGTTGGAAAGTTGTCGGTGCTCGTAAGCGTGTGTTTTATGCAACCTATGACGTGTCTCCGCCTGAGGGTCAGACCTGGCAAACACGCACTGCCTTGCAGCGGCGGCGACCACTACCCACCGTGTGTGGCAACCACAGCGACGATCTACTGCCTGCACTTGCATTTAGTGCAGCTCAGCAAGCTGTCTACCTGTTTGGTTTCGGTGTTCATCCCAGCTGTGCAGTATTGCAGCGATGGAAAGTGGGCGATGATGACGGGTTTCGTGAGGTGAGCAGCTCTGGTGGTCAGCATGTACCACACCTTTTCCATACCCTGCTCGCCGTGGACTCTCCGAAAGACAACTCCACCACACTGCTACTATCATTCGGCGGTCTACCCAACGAGTGTCTGCCATCACTTAATCGCAGTGCTTGTAAGAGCTATTCCAGCGACATGTGGTCGCTGGTGGTAAGTGTTGACAATTCCACCAGCAACAGGAACTGGTCACCAGTGTACTACGCCGAGAACAACACGATCCCAAGTGGCCGCCTTGCCCCCATTGTTGTAGCTGTTGATGATGATAATTTGCTTATGTACGGTGGTGTGGGTCGGCAGGAGATTTCCCTGACACATGCTCCTGTTATGCACTGGAGAGACGTGCCGATGTGTGATCTGTGGCTGTATCAACTGAGTAGCCGAGAATGGAGGCAGCTCGATGGGCTGCAACGAATCTGCAACACCCGCAAAAGAAATCCCTGCGAAAGAGAAACACCAATGCGGCCTCTGGCCTCCTACGACAGACGAGAGAGGCTACTGACCGTGGTCTCTTTGTTTTCTTCTTCAGTTAGTGTCTCCCAATGGCAATGTTTCATTGATCGCATCCAAGTAGCTACGTTCAGTTGGATGAGAAAGGAGTGGGTGTTGAAGGATTTCCAGCACAACGTACAGAAGAATATCATGATACACGGAAAATTTGGAGAAGCGCGGAAACGACAAGAATTTCTCGCGTGGAATGGACGCAAAATATTGACAAGTGTACTCCGCCTTCAGAGCGCAGAGATTGTAGTCTCAAAGGCGAACGAGAGAAGTGGTTTTGGAACTGTGGACTGGAGATATCTGACTGGGGGCGAGGTGGAAGTCTTCAGGTTTGTCGGCAACTTTGGCTGTATGAGTCCGCCGGTGGTTAGGGCTAAAGACGACACGTTCGTATTCCTGGGAGGATTTTGTACGAGCACAGATCACATCTACAAAGGCTACCACATACCAAACTGGAAGGTGATGCCAGTATGGTACTACAGCAAGTCAGGATTTTACACGATGCGGATTGTGAAGCCGGGCCCGCCATTTTTACAACGTAGTCTCTACAGCGTAGTCAAGCTGGAATCCAAGGGAGGCACAACAGCTGCCGGACACAGCAAGGCAGTCATGTTCGGTGGTGTCTCCCTTACGGGCCATCCTCTCCCCGCTGAAATTTGGTGCTTTGACTTGCGCAGTGGCTACTGGCAACAAGGTGTGGAACGAAACCGTACAAATTCTCCAGGTGCCCAGGGACAGCCGTTGGCTGGCCATGTGGCGTTTTCTATGGCTTCAACAAAGTATCCAACGTTCATCGTGTATGGCGGAGCAGATCTCGGGAGCCCGTTTCTCTCTAATTCTCACAAGCTTTCTGCATTTGAATTTGATGATTTGGGTGAATGCAGAGGGCGTTGGCGCTCGATTTCCTCAATCGTGGAGCCAACAAATCGCACCCTGCCTTCTCTTGTTCTACATTCTGTGACCACATTCGAGGACCAGATATACGTGTTTGGCGGGTATCCAACTTTCCGTGGCATTAAGGATATGCCATGTGGCTCGTTTTTTCGCCTGGACGTGGACGTCACTGGGGACCAAGGCCGGGCGTCATGTGAGCCGATAACAGGCACACCTCACCATCTCCGGACTCTCATGGGCCACTCGTTGACGCAGTACTCTAGTGACTCACTACTCTTGCTGGGAGGTTGTAGTCAACCACATTGCCTGAGTAAGACACGTCGTGCCCAGATTGCGTATTTGTTGAAGTTTAACGACAGGAAGCATCGCTCTGCAGTCACAGCTATCACGTTTTTCACCCATACCCCTATTCTGTTTCCGCGTGTCGAAGGGAATGGGGTGTTTGGAAGCGTATTGAACACGGTATCCCCCAGATTTTACGGAAGGCTCAATCCAGAGTTCAAGCCTGCATCATCGTATGTGTGTTTTAATGAGTTGGTGACCAAGGCATGTCCAGTAGGATACGGAAATCTCGGAAATGGCAAAACAGAGTTGGAATGTGAACCTTGTCCTAATGGCACTTTCTCCGACACCACGTCCACTAACTGCACGCTCTGTCCAAGGTTCACCAGACCCCTCTCCAGTCGAATTGGATGCGAAGCAATCAATCCTTGTGAAAGTAGCCCTTGCCACCATGGCACCTGTATCCCTGGCATTGGCCAATTTACATGTCATTGCAGCTCTGGTTATGTGGCCTATGATCATTGTCAGATACCCTGGGTTAACATTGGTGCAAGCTGTGGTTCGGCTTTGGCCATATACGTGGCTCTCGGCATCATCACTGGCATCTATAGGCGAATGAGGCGAGAGTCTCGCAGGAAAGATGAGCAAATCCAAGATCGTGATGTGACGATCTGTGACTATCGCAAAACACTGGAAGAGCTCGCTAAGAGCCGCTACATCCGCTCCGATGAACTGGACTTGCAAGATCCGGTCAGTGCTACTCGCCTTGCCGTCAGCTCGCAGAGTGAGATCTGGAAAGCCAAACTGGGTGACATGGTCGTGGCTGTGAAACAGCTGCGTGGGAAACACTCCACATCACGTCAACGGAAGGAGCGTTTCTACGAGGAGGCAGATGAGCTGCGGCGTGTTCGCCATCGCAATATTGTCATGTTCCTTGGTGCCGGGCCAGAGCAGGGCCAGGAACGACGACGTCCGTTCATTGTCCTGGAGTACATGGCACGTGGGTCACTGCACTCCATCCTGAGCAATCCAGCCGTCAAGCTGGAGCTAGCGAATGTTGTCGACTTTGCCCTAGATGCTGCACGTGGCATGAAGTTCTTGCACGGCCTGGACCCAGCCCGCATTCACTGTAATCTGAAAACGCCCAACTTGTTGGTGACGGAGAAGTGGGTGGTGAAAGTGGCTGACTTCGGCATGGCGGCGCTGCTATCAAGGTATGGCGAGCAAGATGGACACGCAGCTGCCCACAGAGGATCGGTCCAAACGGCGGGCAGCTTATTCCGTGCGCTCAGTGAGAGTGCTCCTCTGCTGTCGCCCACCGCCGCGCCTGAATATCCAGCATACCCGAACAGGGCCCCGGGCAATAGGTGGAGTTCCCCGGAGACACTGGTTGATGGTATATTCAACTGTAAGACAGATGTTTACAGGTAAGGAAGCTGCTACTGATAGCTATTTTTATCGCAAAGGCTTGAAAGCTACCGGCATTGTACACGTTCTTTCAACTAACTTCACGCACACGCGCACACGCACACACACGCGCGCGCACTTGTCTGCGTTACTGCTACATGCATATAGCATAATTTTTCGCTTATTAGGCACAAAAGGTCGCACCTCTTGGTTGCGTTTGTGTAAAGGCGCGACCTGCATGAGATTGACCAGTGGATCTTGCAGGCCTTGTTCGACTCTTGCAGCTTCCAAATGTTTTCGACAGCTGTGTGCTTTTCTCGTACTGTTTGTGTCGGGGTGAAGTCAAAAAAAAAAAAAAAAGGCGCGGAATGCATTCCCAGACAGGCCATGGTAGATTTGACCAGAGGCTCTGAGAAGGGAACATCCCTTAGCAATCGCACAGACCTGGTGTCAATGTGGCGACCAGAGTCAAATTACAACCCTCGTATCTTTAAAACCTACCTAACTCCCCTGTGCACGAATTGCAATCTGCTTGGGGTCGGATCTCCTAGTGACCTGCTCCCCGACCGCAGTGGCACCCTGGTTAGTGGTATAATGACGCTGTTTATTTTATTTTTATTTATTTCACTCAACTCGTGGTCCATGACCAATTGGCACGCAAACTGCGAGAGAGGGGTGATAGCCAACCACGGCAAGAAAAGAAAAGAAAGGAATAAAGAAAAAGAGAAGAAAGAAGGATAAACAAGAATCTAGCAAGGAGATCCTATCGTACTAAATTATGCGATCGGAGTGTATTTTTGAAGCTGGAAAGACATTTTGATGTCTTAACCTGCTGGGGAAGTTGCAGCCAAAAGCTGTTTGCTAACAAATTATTATAATTATCACAATGCCACTCATACTGATGACCCCTTTCTTCCTCATTCACACCCACACCCATACCCACTCCAGTCACCCCCCCCCCCCCCCCACCCCCGGCACACCCATATCCACTCCAGCCCCCCCCCCCCCGTCACACCCACACCCATACCCACTCCAGTCCCCCCCCCCCTGGTACACACACAGACTACTCTTTGGGATAACAGTTTATTATCGATCTCTCGATTATTATTGTTAGCAAACAGCGTCAGGTTTGTCTGCAAAAGTTACTCCATTTCGGAGCGTACAAGAACAAGTAAATTCTATTTCTATGTAAAAAGTACGCACAAGTTAAAGGGTAGGTCCGACACTTAGCCATTTTGATTTCAATTAAACCTCAGAACACAATCCATATCACTGAAACCAGGGAGTCGTAAAATATCGGTATTTACGACTCCCTGCTGAAAACAGCATACTCACAGTGGACACTGATTCAAGCTTCACAAAAATACATTCTTTTTCAGGACTGTTGGATGCAAAAACCCTATCGAGTAATCCATAACGTACTCAGTACGACTAGTTGATTGAATATCTGATACATTGGGGCGCGTATTGCACAGTCACATGCACAGCACGCTTCTGCTCGCTGCACTGATTCGAATGACACCATACACGCATTTGTCAGGCATACCTAAGTATGCATATCGCCTATAGTAATATATCGCCTATAGTGATATTTTCACGAAAGTCAAACACCAACGCTATAGCCGATCCGTACTGTACTACAATGTTTGTGCGCGAAGTGTGTGGGTAGAGTGAGGGCTGCGTCCCACCATCCAGCATCCTGTGTACTGTAACAGGAAGCGTGAGTTTCGACGTCTGATTCTCTGAAGATTAAATTAATGTTGATGGGTCACTGCTTGGCTGACAGCCACGCCACAGCCCAGTGGGTAGAGCATCGCCGGCCTAAAGCGAAGGTCCCTGGTTCAAATTCTGGTGATGACAGTCAATTTTTCCTTCAGATTTCCCCTTTTCTGCACCCTCAACCTATGAGGATTTGCAGAGTATTAAATGGCTATAATTGTTTCAACTATACTCCTGAGGATTGCTTTACTAAAGCATGAAACTCTGAGTTGAGGTATATGTTTGTTTTTACTCCAGTGGATTTCTAGATCGTATTAATTTAATTAAGTTCTGCATGCAGGTGGTGCATAGAGCACTCTGTATAGTAGAGATGTTTCTGAGGAGAGGAGTACAATTAGCCCTTGGCGGATTCTGCTCGAAAAGCAGTGAAATTGGCAGAACCACACAAAACCTTATGGCGGTCAATTCCTCGAATTCTGCTCCATTTCTTTATCCACATACCAAACATGCATGAAACGTACCAGAAAAGGTACCGAATTCTGCCAATTTTTCTGCCGGCATCATCCGCCAAGGCCTAAGTACAATGACTGTACTCATGTACAGTGTACATTGTGTTGTTTGCAAGCCTCATTCTAGATAACTGTGAATTGCACGTGTAGTGAAGATCCTGTTTAGGATTCGCCCTCAGAAATGGCCCTATTGCCGCTGAACTTCACCAGGAACTCTTTATTGCGGGGAGCTGCCTAGAAACTTAGTTGTGCATCAACGCTGCTGTACAGTCATTAGAGAGGTTGAGATGCACGTTATTTCTGACGTGACGCGAAAGTTCAGCTCGCGTTATTTGCTCGCACGTCGAAAAATCAACGCAAGTGACCTGCTGCTCACGTCGAAATTTGGAGTTTTACGCCAAATTTGACGTGAAACTGCGCGTCACGTCGGAAAGAACGTGCATCTTAACCTCTCTATTATTTCCAAACGTGTCTTTTCTTCCCATGCTGCAGCTTCGGTGTAGTGCTCTGGGAAATGTACACACGTCTCACACCTTACCAGGGCATTGAGGACTTTGATGACATCAGCAGCCTGATCAAGTTGGGTCAGCGTCCGGAGCTACCCGCCGCGATGCCCTTGACGTACCGAGAGCTTGTGGAGAAATGCTGGCACAGTGTGGTAGGGGAGCGTCCGACGTTTCCCGGAGTTGTGCGCTGCCTCAAGAGGATGCAGAAGGAGATCACAAGATCTGTTGAGGAAGCCGTGGAACTGTAGTTGCTCAGGATCGCACTGTGTAAATGCACTATGATTCTCATGAGCAAATATGAGGCTGAGATATAGCCATGTCTCTCTCCCTCTCCCCCTCTCTCTCTCTCTCTCTCTCTCTCTCTCTCTCTCTCTCTCTCTCTCTCTCTCTCTCTCTCTCTCTCTCTCTCTCTCTCGCTCTCTCTCGCTCTCGCTCTCTCTCTCTCTCTCGCTCTCCAAGTAATATTAAAGTTGTTGTCGTCTACCTTTCGTGCATTCGTTATAGTAAAAATGCACTACAGTTCATCTCTTCGCATATCCTCTTTTTGTTACAGCAGAATGACGGTGATACTATCACTTTGTTAGTGTATTGATTGACGATGACGGAGATATCTATATTATGAGGCCACCGTGAATGAAGAGTTTCAGTTTTTGAGACCTTCACAGTGTATAAGAGCTGTAGATAGTAGACATTATCACACAACGCGATGGTGTTCTTGCGTAACATCGTGCTATGTTCCATGTGTGGAGAAGTCTGAATCTCCTACTCTGTACAGCACTAAATCAGCTGTTATTGTTTTCACCCCCCCCCCCCCCACACACACACCCCCCACCTACTACCCACGTTACCCATTTATTCTCGTACATGTGCATGTGGTGATTGTACTAGGCTTTCATACATGTACACTGCTTCACCGAAGGACGTACCCAGAGTGCTGACAGTGCTCAACACCACAAAGGCAGAGCGTAATACACAACAGAACAACAAGGACAATCAAGGCTTGTTTGCTGCTACTTTAAGTTTCACGCTCACGCAATCATCAGGCAACTGTCCGTTGTGTACACTGCTTCTAAATTTCTTTGCTTTGCCTTCTGAATTTCTCCCCAATTCCATCATATCATCTTGATCCATCTATAGCCAAGTATAGGCAGCGGTATCCGTGAGACGGACGGCTGCATTAAACGTGCTACTTCTTCTACATTTGGTGTTGTAATCCTTTATTTCAATTCACTTTTGAAAGCACAGGCAGTACTACTGCCTTCTCACCAGAGATTGGCTCTCTGATTCCTTCGGTAACTACCACAAACGAAAGTAGTCTAACATATTTGAAGAATGAAAATATGAAAGGGAAGAAGCCAGCAACTATGAAAGTGGTCCTTTACCAACGTATTGTACAGGTTCATAATAAGAAATTTACCAATTCAACTGGGCTATTGTACTGGATTGTCCCATGAATCTTGGATGCGGCCTTGTGACACAGAACGATATTTACGTAGATGTTAAATTCAGACCCTGCGCTTGAATTCATCTTTGCGCACAACGAGGCGAACATCAGGAAGCAACTCATTCCATAGAACAGCACCTCGGAAGCGAATGGACGACTGTCCCGCCGAGCCAAGAAGGAACGGGACGCGCTGAAGTCGCGTCATCTGTCCACGCGTAGCTCTGCGATCGTGGTCGACCAGATCGGGCGCAATAGGTGTGTAGAATGACGAAAACAGTTGACTGGTGAGAGCGTGAAGACAACGGAAGACGAAGACAAGGACTTTCTGACGGCAGAGCTGCTCAATGGTGGATAACCGAAGTCTCTCGCGCAGGGGCTGGATGGCGACGGGGTTATGCAATCGCAAATTTGAGCCACCCGGATTTGATTCGTTGTTGTGGGTCTCGCAAATCACCCACAGCAACACTAGCATTAAAGGGCTGGAGGGAGGGACGGTTGAGGGACTGAGGAAGACAGGGAGAGAGGGAGGGAGAGAAAGAGAGATAGATAGATAGATAGATAGATAGATAGATAGAGAGAGAGAGAGAGAGAGAGAGAAATGGAGTTTTTGGAGGTTTTGGCATGAAGAAGTTTGATGCAGAAGGGTTATAACTTTGGTTAAAGATTGGGCAAGTCGACAGCAGTGACAAGAGCTTTAAATGTCCGCTAGTCGCTTTCCGTTCGGACTTCAACAGTCCAAACAAACTTGTCACGGCTCCAAGAGAACTCTGCAATAATATTATGGTCAAACAGCAACAGTGACTGTTTCATCATGCTTCGCGTCACACGAGCCGTGGTTGTTTCCGATTCGCTTCTCCATGACATTCTAGTAGTGCTACGTGAAGAACTCACTCAGTACTGTTGTGTTGAGTTACTGAAGTAAAAACAATACCAAACCATACCATACCCAGCACGACACGCTGCTTCGGACCCAGAACTCCCAGGCCAGGGCGATTCCCCGGGACAAAGACGCCGGAACCATCGTCGCAGTAAAAGGCTGACTGAGCAGCGGAAGTAGTACATGTCAAGCAGTTTGTCTGAAACAAACACTCAGTTGCATGTGGTTGTATCGAGAGGCCATGAACTAGAGGGCTTCGTGCTGTAGTCATATTGTACATCAATTGTCAATTAAGCGAAAGCTATACGTGCTACACATTACGAAGTCAAGTGGTGTGCTTCACTGTCCGAAGAGTGCTCAATACGCATGTAGGGCAGAGCCTTGTACACAAGAGAGGGAGATTGGAAGCTTTGTTACAACCCCTTATGTTCTGGCGGCCCGTTTTGGATCCATCAGTTGCCTGATGATCGTGAAACTCAGAATTGTAACACAGCTTCCAATCTCTCTCTTGCGTGCTACACATTACATAATTATGTTGCATTGATGCCTACGCAGAGAAACTCCTCATGATAATACCGTGTGCTGATAATAATTTCCCGTGTGCCCAGGCTCTGTGCTCTGCTGCACAAAGTCACTGGTCCACAACCAGTGTAGGCATGGTGGCTCCGGTATAACGTTAGTAGCCAGTACTATCTGGTGCAGTAACTGGGTGCCTGGCACTCAGACTGGGACTTCAGTCATAATAATACTTTGAAGTACTTGTAATAATAATAAAAATAAAAATAATTCCTGGTGGTCTTCTTATGTTCTGTATGTATGTTACTGTATTCGCTTTAGTTTGTAATTGAAACACTGTGGTATTAATTATGTGGTTATTCGTGTTTGATCTTTCTGTGGGCACGCATTGGAGGTTGTGCCCAGTGATGAGCTTTGCCGGCCTGAATTTTTCGCCAACTTCTGATGCTCCCCTTTCTGCAATACTTGTTGTCATGATACCTATGGGTTTTAATGCCTGTGATGGTACATGCACCTTTGTCCTCTCTCACTCTCTCTCTCTCTCTCTCTCTCTCTCTCTCTCTCTCTCTCTCTCTCTCTCTCTCTCCCTCTACCTTACTTTTACCCATATATTATTCCCTGCTGCTTACCTTTGGCTATTATAAGTCCGGTGAGTTACTGTAACACCTCCTATTTATTTTATTTTTTTCAGTTTGGAGTGGAATAAAGAATCATAATAATAATAATTATTAATAGTCTGCGCCGTTCTTTTCCATGCACATAAACTTGAAAAAGAAGTAGAACTGTGAACAAACAGGCATCCTGTGCATGGTTTAGTTGTAGCCTGTTCGTTCTACCGCACATCGTTCTTTGTGTTGTTCTATTTGAATTCGCAGGACCAAACGAGCAGAGATGTTCTTCTGCGCCCCAAGCAAGATACTATTACGTAGATCTACACGTATGATCGGGCGACTGCAAACTTGTTTGTTGCTGATATTAGGCATGTGTTATTATGGTAATGGATTCAGGCAACTGTGTGTCGCTCCCTACGTGGGAGCTCGCGCATTTCCTGACGACGACTCGACGAGCTCCCGCGTAGGGAGCGACACTCAATTCCTTAAGTATAGCCGAAGTCGCACCGACCTGTTCTTCACATTGTTATGGATTCGTGGCCGGAAATCATGACACCTTTTCGACACGGCACCGCTACCCGCATTTGCTTGTTGTATCTAATGGACCATTTTGTTCCAGTTCATGCACACGCCACCTTGAGCATAATGCTAAACAACACAACAACGCCCAGTGATCAGTTAGCGCATCCAGAACAATTACGTTTTTTAAGGGTTATTCCGTTGAGAGGTCGACATCGACTGCCGCTCATAATGCCCATTCACACAACGATACAAACCAGGGAATACTTTAATACAGTTGCCGATATGAACCACGCCTCATCAACCTAAAAACTCAAGGCCAATTATAGTGGAGGCAGCACAACGTGGCACTACTAACAGATAATAGTAAGTCCATCCACAGCTACATGTAGAGTATACGGATAGGGCTGAAACCAAGAGATCTACTAGTCAAATGCCATGTACATGTACGTGCATATCCGGGGGGGGGGGGGGGGGATATCCACGATCAACACTGGCATCACGAGTGCATGAATAATTAATTTTACTCTTGTTGATATGGACAAAAGCGCTTGCATCGGGCAAGCCAGCTTCATTCCCTCTTCTTCATGGGTATGTGGATTCGTGCTTGAATGACTGGTGTTAAAGTAACACGTTAGTTTCAATCATCAATACAAGAGAAGCTAGAACTGCGGGTCAGGAGTCGAGTATCGAACGTCCAACAGTAACAATCCGCATCATCATGAACTGAGTGGCATAGTCACCCGTATAACCGCTAGTACCAATTTTTGTAACCGCATAGACTTCACCTCTCTACGACTGTAGCTGTGTACGTGTGTGTGCTCAGTAGAACCTGTGTAAGTGCTATGAATACCGGCACCGCCAACGTTGTTCAGAGGGAGAAAGTGTGCATAGAGCAAAAATGGTAGGCCCGTTGGTGTTCAAGTCAGGTCACTGAGGTCAGTGATGGACATAATCATTGAAATTTGTAGCCAATCCACAAATTTGTAGCCAATCTTTAGTCGGATGAAAATGATGTTGCTGATAAGCGGACCTTTCGTACTGAAGACCCTGATACTAAGTTCATCAATTGGCATCTCTCTGGCTCGTTCCAGCAGCGACTTGGTCCATTCTGTACCCTCCAGTTCTGGCTCAAAGTATGTGCCTGACCTGGACAAATCCGATTTCTCGACAGCAGAGCGCAGTGCAGCCTCGAAGTCGGAGGATGTGCGAAATTCTCGCAAGTTGAAAGCCAAGGCGCCCAGCTCATTTCGCACCAGCGACGAACAGACCATGCAGGATCGGATTCAAAGCCAGACGCTGGCCGAGCTCCTGGGTATGCATGACGTATTTCAGTCGAACAAGATGGGCAGCCCCAGTATGAAGGATACTAGTATACACCAGCTGGATCCAGCATCGCGAATCGCATCAATTCAGCATCTGGGCTCACCGTTACATAGTAGGGAGCAATTCACTCAGCTGAGAAACAAACGCAGCTCTCTCTCGTCCAAGAATCAGCGTCTCCTGAAAGATGGCGGTAATGATCCGGGAAAGAACAAATTTAATAAGTTACCGTCTCTAATCGAACCACACATATCGGAGCAAGCCTCCAAAGGTGGCGTTCTCGGCCGGGCGTTGCCAGATTCGGCCTTTTTCCGACCTCTCCTGCTTCCCAGCGTCGTTCAACGAAGAGACAGCGAATTCACACTGGAGTATCCGGTGTTGGAGCTACTGGCTCTGGACTCTGGCAAAGACGGTGACCCACATCGTATCTTTCGCTACTCGTACGACGCATCACAGAACGACGGACAGACGTGGTGGATACACCGAGCGCTGCATCTTGAGCAGCTTCCAACCGGGTGTCTGGACACGAGCACAATGCGTCCTGTTCTGGCGTTCAGTCAAGCACTCCAGCGGGCGTACCTATTCGCGTTTGGCATCCACCCGAATTGCTCTCTGCTGCAAAGTTGGAAGTTGGGAGAAGATCACTTCGACATCGTCAATGCTTTGGGCAGTGAGAAAGTGCCGCGTCAGTTTCAAAGTCTGCTGGCAGTGGACTCGAATGTGACGAACAGCACTGACGTGCTAGTGTTTGGCGGTAGGAGCAAATGTGATAGGTACTCCGTGTCTTCACGCTTGTGTTCTGATGGATGGGCGTATTCTGATCAAGTGTGGAGACTGCGCCTCCTCCATAATGCCACAAAAGATGAGCAGGAACTCCCAGTATGGCAATGCCTATATCCAGGATTGTTGGCGAACGCACATCAACGAGCAGTCGCCATCCCGCCTAGTAGACTATCTCCATTAGTGACGGCGATCAATGAGACGTTTGTGTTGATGCACGGTGGAATTACTCGCCACGACACAGGCTACGCTCCGATCTGCGACTTGTGGAGCTTTGACATCGCAACTGGACATTGGACAGCACTGCCGGAACCCACAACACTCTGTGCGAGACGCTGGTGTGTTAATAACACTATGTGTGCTCCTTTACGTCCACTGGGGAGCTACGACGTCCACCAGCAGCGCCTGATTGTCGTTCGCGAGAGGATTGCGATTATTGCTGGTTTTTCAGCAATCCTGGAAGGACTGGACGTTTGGGTATATGATGTGAAACTCCAGTGTTGGACATTCCAAGGCTCTACCGTGCATACCGGTCAGACAGTAGCCAGACTGTCATTTACAGCTACCGTTGGAGATCTTCCTCAAAGGGAAGTCATCGTGCACGATGGTCGTGTCTTACTCACTGATGTCCAGGACATGCAGACCGAAGAGCTCCTATTTTCTGTGCTGCCAGCATGCCCAAACAGCAGTGGCAACACAACCTCAACAAGGGATGCTGCCGTTGCCATCCTGCCGCTTACTGCCCGTGAGGACAAGATCTTCCAGTTTGGCGCGGCCATCAGGTGCTTGTCACCGGCCCCTGTCCTGGCCGCCTTTGACGCAGAGAAGCCAGGAGGATCAGTGGCAACGGAGGCCTTGGTGTTTCTCGGTGGCGTGTGCTATAGTACGAATCGTGATGATTGGCAGTCAAGAGTCCCATTGCACAGTACCCTTCCCATCTGGTTCTATCTGCCGGGTATGGACGGATATTTGAAGAAAAGTATACACCAGCACGGACCAGTGCCCTCGTTTCCACTTCTTATAATGCAGAGCGCTGTGAAGTTGTTTTCAAGCAACATCAGCAAGGCTGTGATGATGGGCGGTATGTCACCAACTGGGCCATTGCAGGACGGGACGCCTTCCGGTGTCTGGTGCTTTGACCTACACAGATACTACTGGCAAAAAGCAGTCATTGAGAATATGCATGAGGCACCCGTAGTCGACGAAGGAATGGTTTTAGGACAGTCAGTGCACAGTGTTGCTGAGGCCGACATGCCCATCCTGGTTGCCTATGGAGGAGGAGCGGCCGACTTACGCCACACTCCACTATCTGGAATCACCGCCATGGCTACGGCAAACATCAGCGCGTTGATCTTCAGCAACCTGTCTGCATGTCATTGCCGCTGGCAACGGCTGAGCGCCGGCCGGCGCGGTCTTCCTAAGAATTTTGGACATGCCGTCACAGTTACGCCCAGCAATGAAGTGTATGTTTATAGTGGAATACCTAATATCCTTGCAAGAAAGGTAGCCCATGAGTGCGGTCATTTCTTTCGCCTCCATCTACGCGGCCTTGGCACGGATAAAGCCACAGCATCGTGTACTGCAATACACAGCACTACGTCGTCGCCGGCTCTACCTCTTACTATTTGGCATACTATCAGCGTTCTGTCGGAGCATGCCTTTCTGCTACTGGGTGGCATAGAGATACAGTCCAGTGCCAATTGCTATGAGTCTGACACGTGTACGGCATATTTCCTGCAGTTCACCGGCAGCGATAGGCGTTCTGTTGACGTCATTCCATTCTTCAGGCATAGTCCAGTCTCCTTTCACCAGATCTACAAGGACTATCTGTTCGGCGGTTATTCGGGAAGTGGAATCGACCTGCTGCAAACACTGAAGGATATTCCGGTGTCCTACAAAGGCTACATGGCGGTAGCATCTACCTACATCGGCCGCCTGCGCGTGCATCACACGTGTCCAGCGGGCCTGGGTAACGGTGGAAACGAGACAGAGAGGTGCACGCCGTGTGCGAACAATTTCTACTCCGACTCGACCTCCGACATCTGCCAACCATGCCCGGCCTTTCAGCTTACGAACTTCACCGACAACCAAGAGTCGTGCTATGTGCAGAATCCGTGTGCCAAGGACCACTGTCACCGTGGCCAATGCCGAGTGGTCAACGGATCAGCCGTCTGCTCCTGCCCAGTAGGGTATGTGGCATATGATAACTGTCAGCTGCCGCTCATCTTCATTGCTGCTGGCTGTGGCGCGGCACTGGTCTTCCTCGTCGTCCTGCTCCTCACCATCCATGCCTGCATGAAGAGAAAGAAAGAATCCGAGATGAAAGACAGGGAGCTGCAGGCGATGGTGGAGCGGCTGAGCAAGATCGAGAAACTCCTGCGTGAGTTAGCCCGTAGTCGCATCATACAACGCCACGAGCTCACTCTACTCCGGCGCTTAGCCAAGACAGAAACCTGTTTCATCTGGCTGGCAAAGATCTTCGACACCAAGGTCGTTGTCAAGCTGTTGCGCTACACCAAAATGGCAGCAGGTAGGAAGGAGCAGTTCTATGTGGAAGCTGAGGAGCTGCGACGTGTCCGACATCAAAATGTTGTCATGTTCCTGGGTGCCGGCACAGATCCCAAGACAAGCCAGCCATTCCTTGTACTGGAGCATGCTAGAAGGGGCTCGCTGCATGACATTCTGCAGAATCCCAGCATCGGCGTCACGCCAGATGATTCATTGCGCTTTGCTCTGCAAGCGGCGTTGGGCATGAAGTTCTTGCACGGACTGGAACCAGCCCGTGTCCACTGCAATCTGAAAACGCCCAACCTGTTGGTGACGGAGAAATGGGTGGTGAAAGTGGCTGACTTTGGCATGATGTGCCTCCTATCCCGTGTTGAGGAACTAGACGCCGAATCAAGTCAGAATCACACTAAAGTAGACGCAGCTCCCGGTGCACTCTTTGCCAGCGAAGAAGAAGAGGAAGAAAGCGGTGAGAATCGGCCACTACTGAAGGCGCCGAGCATACAACGGGAGCGTCAACAGCCCGGCAGTGGCCGTGGGGTGGGACGCTACGTCGAAAGTGCTTGGAGTGCTCCCGAAACTCTGAGCGAGAGGAAATTCAACTGTGCAACGGATGTCTACAGGTAAGCGTGCATTTCTGGGACTGATAATCTAGCCATTACAGTAAAACCTGTCAAGGCGACCACTCGGATAAGGCGACCACCTGTCCTAGAAGACCACTGAAACCAGGATCAAGGGATACTATTTCAAGTCAAATGACCCTGGATAAGGAGACCACCTGGTAAAAGAGACCACATTTTGAAGGTCCCTTGAGTGGTCGTCTTAGACAGGTTTCACTGTATGTTGTCTGGGGGGGGGGGGGGAGGAGGGGTCGACTAAAACCGTAACTACCTGCAGTGTACGATTATTATGTGCCATATTCAAATGTATATGTTGCCGTATAGCCCTTTCCCAAAGATGCCATAGTTTTTCGCAACTTATGCTTTTCACAACCGTGCCAAAACAAGTGCTAGTTGCTGAAATCGCAACCATATTTTCAGAGAAAGCTCAAAAGTTGCTAATATTGCAACCTAGAATTGGGGAGTTCTTGTGCAAAAACCTACAAAAAATGGGGCCTAGCAGAAATAGCAGAAGCGCATCGACAGCAAACTCGTAGATCTACACTCCTTCCTGCTGTGAACCACCACTTAAAGTCGTTACACAGTGCCAGTGCCTGTTGCATGTATCCTACATGTACATCATTCCAGTGCAAGGCAAAGGGAACTATTACTTCAGTGCACATTATCACAACTATCGTTGATCTACTGTTTCTCTGAAATCAGTCTGCAGGCAGGAGAGAAATGAGCGAGTACGAGTATGCATTTGTCCGACATGTAGTTGGTGAACCGGTGACTTGACCTTTTGACCCCATGCCATGTCGCCAATTGCGCTAAGGTTCCGGAAAGTTGCGAAATAGTTCGCGAAAATGAAGAAAGTTGCGAAGGTTGCCATTTCTTCCTAAACAACGAAAAGTTGCGAAAAAAAGTGGCGAGCATCTTTGGGAAAGGGCTATTGCCGTATAGTGTTACATACCATCACAAGAATACTATTTTGAAATGTCCAGGCTCCTGTGTCGACTAAAACCGTAACTACCTGCAGTGCACCATTATTATGTGCCATATTCAAATGTGTTTGTTGCCATATAGGGTATATATCATCACAAGAATACTATTTTGGAATGTCCAGGCTCCTGTGCCGGGTTGATACAAGTTGCTCCACTTCCAATAGAGACATATTGAGTAGTGAACGGTCATTCCTGATGTTGCCTACCCATCTGGTCACTGGGCGACGTCTGCGGATTCTTAACCTGATGTCTGTTCAATGGGTTGACATACATTTTAACTGCCATCAGAAAGGCTTTGTAGGGCACATCATCATCATCCTTCATCCATCATCTTTCATCCTTCCCGGATGACACGTCCAAACCATAATAAGCGCCGGCATCTACAGACGTGATGTGAAATGCACTTGTTTCAATAGTGAAACTACGGTCCTCGCTTGATCGGAGCAGCCGTAGCAAAGTTGCAGCAGCTCGAACCTGATCTCGTACAGGATCCTTCAAATTAAGTGGTCTTCTGGTGGGTGGCTCACATTTTGAGGCAAAGCCACTTCTCAATCTCTTGTAGCTTAAAACTATTTTTAACAAATACTCCTGAAATGTAAGGTGTAGGACCGAATTAAGATGAATGTTTCAGGAAAGAGGTTTGCCCTCTCCTCCCAAAGAGCATACCTATCCGTAGCGATAAAACAAACACAATGGATTAATGAAATACAAAGCTGGTGAAGAAATCTGGAAATAATACATGTGTAAATTAAAGATTTCAAACGCAAAGCAAAAGAAAACTTCGAATCAGAACTTTAGCGATGCTATCCGGTAGAACAGGGTTTATTTTCAACAAAGATGTTTCTGCTTGCATGATTCCTTATCCATCCAGCTTTGGCATTGTCCTGTGGGAAATCTTCAGTCGCCAGATTCCATTCCAGGACACGAAGGACTTCTGCGAGATACGAGACCGTGTTATTGCCGGCCACAGACCTGATCTACCAGTGCGAATGCCGTACGCCTATCGCACTCTGGTGGAGAAATGCTGGCATGAAGAGGCGCTGGAGAGGCCGACTTTCGAGACCACCGTGACTGTTCTGGAAGCCATGATAAGGGAGAAGTCTCTCATGGAGTATTGAGGTATCGCGGATGATTTTGGGAAATTGCATGAGCAGCACATGGGCCAGCCATTGTATTTGCATGCAAACTTGAAAGTGTATTGCTTCTCTCTTTTGTAATTTTCCCTCCAGGGTTCTCCAAAACTTAAAAACCTTTTGTTTGATCCTCAGTTCGAAGTTGTGTGGTCATTCAGTTATTTTATTTTTCACTTGATGTATAGTTGATTAGTACACATCACAAAATCAATGACGTACTCTTGCCAATGCACCATACAGTCAGTGGCAGTAGAACCCGTTCTCTAAGTACATGTACATGTACAGTGCTGGCAACTGAAATCCGACCCCTGGGCGGCGCGGCACGCCGCCCAGGGGTCGGATTTCAGTTGCCAGCACTGTAGTAGAATCAAGAGTATAATAAGCTTTTATACATACATGTACATGTACATGTATACTCTTGGCACTGCCTCTGTGTATGCTCTTGGTAGAATGATAATAATTATTATCTCCGTTTGCTTCTGTTGGACAGCTCTTCTGTTGTTTTTGAGAACATTTTTGTTTCAGCCCTACATAATGATTGTACCTGTAGCTGTTTTCGCAGCATAATCTTGAACCACGGCGCACATCACCAGAATTACTTTCTTATGGGCCTAGCTCACACATCATGCTTCACGGTTTAGTCTTTGCAGATGTGTTCTGTTCGTACTTTTCTTCTACTTCGAAGTACATGTGCATACATGTACATGTACATGTATTGTATGTACATGACGTCAAGCTGAAATAGACACCATCCTGAGTGTAGCATTTCGTTGCCTCTCCAAGCCCCTACCGCTGTGTTTTACATGTACGATCGTACATGTGTACAATGTAGGTCAGTAAAGCGGAAGGGTTTGATACCTTGATTGCATGAGCTCTTAAAAAAGACTTATGGTATTTTAAATGCACCATCAACTTCAAAGCCATAATTATTGGAATGCCGTAAACCTAGCAGCAAAGACAGACAGAACGTATCAGCATCTTTCCAGTGCAACTCCATCACAGCGTCGACATCACATTTCTGGACATCATGGTAAGTATTTTTTGACGTTTTTTCACATACACGTATTGGAAAGCTTCCTGTCTGAAGCCTTTCCATTACTGGTGCTCGATCAGTCGATGTTCCAGTTTTGTGACACGAGAATGGCACGATTGTACCTGTGACTGTCGCATGACATCACCAGAAATGTCTTTGTTCTTGCGCATCGTGTCACAGTTACACGTTTCCTCTATTTCCGCGTGAGTTCTTATCCATTGTTTTTGGCTATTCATTTTCCAGGTGATGCAGTTTAGTAATGGTCTCCTTTTTTTAACAGCCAGCTCAAGCCAATCTCGTCTTCCGCTCCCAAGGCAGATGCCTGTTTCCTTGTCGTCGCAATTCTCTTCCGTGTCATTATCCATGCCTCGTACGTATCTGTATCTGTCGTCGGTCTGAGCGCAGGGGGGGGGGGGGGGGGCACATTCATCTCCCTCCCCTTTTCCGCCTCCGCTTTTCACCACCAAGCGCTCTAAGCCTATCTCGGCTTGGGCAATGTCTGCGGTAGGCCTTTGCGGATTCTGCCGGCAGAAAATTGGCAGAATTTGGTACTTTTCTGGTAAGTTTCATGCATGTTTGGTATGTGGATAAAGAAATGGAGCAGAATTCGAAGAATTGCCCGCCAATGGCGCCATAAGGTTTGTATGGTTCTGCCAATTTCACTGCTTTTCGAGCAGAATCTGCCACCTTTTCGAGCAGAATCCGCCAATGCCTAGTCTGCGGACATGCTTTGTACCCCGGCTATCGTACCTTGTGTTGATTTCTGCCCAAGCAGATTTTTTGCCTGGAAATAGCATTCCTTGATCCTGGTTTCAGTGATCTTCTTGGAAAGGTGGTCGCTTCATCCGAGTGGTCGCCTTGACAGGTTTTACTATAATTATAATACATGTATATGTATGCATAGTACAGTCATGAAGAATACAGTAACTGATGAGACCGGCGCCTGCAATGCCAGTCGAAAATTAATTGGACATTCTATACCTTTCAATAGCACTGTGCATTTCCAAAGAACGTGTTGGCAACATATCCTTAGAGTTAGACGCAGTCATGCAGTACGACTCCACTTGTAAACTAAAATTCATGAAGACAGTACCGTCCGTAGTGTTGTTAGGGAGGAATTGCCCGCCATAAGGTTTGTTGTTGTAGAAGTTTATTTAACGTCGCACCACAAACAGGCGATTTCGCCTCCTTTGATACATGTGGACGACAGAAGGAATGAGAGAGGGGGGGGGGGGGGGGGGCAGAAGTATGGAGAGAGGAAGGGTAGAAATAAATAAGCAATCAACCTCAGGGCTACACCAAAGCAAAAACGGAATGGGAACATACTATATACAAAATAGCTTCATACATATATTGCAAAACACGTTTACTATTCTTCAGTCCGCTATACCACAGAAACACACTAGCCGAAAAGCATTTTAAAAACGGAGCCATGATGCGCTTTTAGCAGGGCACAGAACTGAAGGTGGCTGGGCTCGGAACGGAGATCAGGCGGGAGCTGGTTCCACAGGACTGCGCGTTTGTATGGTTCTGCCAATTATTTCACTGCTATGCTTTTCGAGCAGAATCCGCCGTCATGTACAATGTCATGTACATGTAAATGCTGTGGCCGTCCAGCTAGCTACATGTACATGACTGTACATGTAGTCTACATGTAAAAAAAAGAAAAGAAAAAGTAAAGCTACAGACCTGTAGACGTACAGTAGACTGTGGATGTGTGTGTGTGGGGGGGGGGGGGGGGGGCAGTTGAAGGCTCGTTCAGTATGACTGTATGGGCTGCTGAGTGGTTAGCTGTCGGGCTACATGTATGAAGTGTCTGGTAGATCTACTGCCGTACTGGTGTGACTGGTCAAGCTAGCTGTGAGTTGTCACACTATGAGTATGACCTGTCGTAGATTCTAACACGTGACTGTCACCGACTGTACGATCATGCATTCTGCTGCCGCTGGTTTGCTAGTGCTTTGAAACGGACACATATGTCCGGCATGAGCTCAGATCAGATCAGACTCACTGCCACTAGTAATCATGGTAATACATGTACTGGCACTATTGCACTAGCAGTAGGTCAGTCTACACAGACACTGGTTGAGCCGCGCGAGCTAGGCTGTAGCCTACATGTATACAGTAGTGTAGGTTTGTCAGATGCACAGATCATATCCGGATCGAAAACTGGTGCGAACAAGGAACGAGTGTCGAGTGAGTAGTTTCGGCACTTTTTTCGGTTTTGTTTATCCGTGTGTCGTTGGCAAGCTGCAGCAGTGCAGCGGGAAGGCAGAGACAATCTTGGCAGCTCCGTTCAACGACGTCGTTCTCTGTAGATCTACTAGGCTGTAGTGTAGGGGTGAAAGGATGGGTCGACTAGGAGCTGAATGGCGTAAACTCGTCACAGTAACACGGCGGCGAGAAGGTGACAGGCTAATGCCGTGTACAATCTGTACCTATCGAGCATCGTCGTTGCTGGTAAGGATCGTTTTTGCTGCGCTGTGGTTGGCTGTTGGCCTTGTTCCACTGTTCGCTGTGTCGCACGCGGCGTGTGATGTTTATACTTATAGCAATAACCTGACGTGTGTGCGTGTACGAAGAGTTCCGGACGATTGTCCAACAAAATGTAATACTTATTTTCAGAAACAGTAGTCAATGCATTGTATGTCCATGGTGCTTTGGATTTCCAATGTGGAAGAAGCGCGGTCAAGCTGAGCTGAGCTGAGCGTTGAAAGCGGAAATGTCGGCAGAAGCGGTTCGAGGCACCCTTTGGGAAGTTACTTGCTTGCACACCAGTTGAAGATCGTGAAGTGCAACGCATGCAGCAGCGATAGTTTCGCTTAGTCCGTTGAGTCTACCTGCATGTGTGCAGCATAGACCGTAGGCGTGGGGCAAGCAACTTACTTAGCAAGTGTTCTGTTTTGCTGGTGCAGTTCAGCCGTGTCTTCTCAGATTCGCATATCATGGACAGAGCGGGTCGTGCGAAATGTCTAGTTCATTGTTTATGAAAGCGAAGTGAACGAGTTATAAATATAATGCCAGTTTTCGTTCGCTTGTCAGCTCGTAAGGGTGGATCGTTACGCGCGTGTCGTGCGAAACGCTTCATACTCCTAGCCAGTGGCTGGAGATACAATGTAATTAATCATTTGCTGCTATCAAATCAGCACTGGCACGAGATCTCGCTGTTGCAGTTGTTGATCTACCGCTCAGCAAAGCGATCGCCCTACGCAAAAACCTTTTTTGAAATAGAGTGTGGCGAGGCCGCCCAGCATCGTCGCCTTCGTCAACAATAATCATCTCCAGTCTAACAGTAGTAACAGTAACTGACTGTTACCGTCTGCAGTCTACAGCATTTGGCTGTGAATTTCGTGAACCTTGCTTGCACTGCCCATGACAGTAGCTTACGTCAACGGTTTGCTGTCTAGTCGTAACGGTCCGGGATATGCATGGACATGTGCATGGCTGTACATGTAAGGCCGGATATTGTTATTGTTCAAAAGTCAAACTGACTCACCAAACTGACTCACATGCACCGTGATGGACAAATGCATTGCCATTGCCTTGGGCAAACACAGCCTGTGACTGGCTTACTCCATTTGCATGCACTCTTCAAATACAGACCGTTTTGCTCAGTACCCTGGATACGACATGTTCATGTAGAGGGGACGGCTCGATACGGGGACGTTTTGACAGCCAAATTTGTATAGACCCAAACCGATCATCAGCGTTGATTTTCACTCGAAATATGTTTGTGGAAGGAAACTGGCATGTTGAAGTTTGCTCTGGGGCCAGAGTCAATCGAACTGAGCCACTCCTTTGTGTTGTTGACCCATTACCTCCAAGTTGCCCAATTTTTCGCTTCAAAAAAGTTCAAATCAGAGGTGGCTCCAAACCGGACACGTTTTAGAGTGCACGTCAAATTCACTCTGGGTCTGAAATTAGGTAATTGCTATCGCTCCACGACGGCCAGTACAGAGTAACAATAAGCCTTGTGTGTGCTTCCATTAGTTTTGATTGGTATGCGGTGCTTTATTGGCGAGAGGCGAACCGCTGTTTACCTGCGACAAGAAGTTGATTTTTCGAAAGTCGTAAAACTCAAGTCGCAGTGCGAAGCAACACGTCAAAAACTCACCTGCTTGATATGGCGCTTCTGGTCATCGCAGAGCCATGAAATTTTGGCTCGGAGTATAACACATCGTGGTCTCACTGTGACATATGTTTTCTAATCAAAATACCAAGAGAGAAAGTGAATATTGAGTCCGTTCCGGTTTGCAACCTGTGTCCTATTTGAAACCGTCCCCTCTACATGTACTTCTGAGGACCCTGCATTATGCTATACCCAGGGGCGGATCCAGGAGGGTTTCCACGGGTTCCCCGGAGCCCCCTAAATTTCGTAAATGTACTACTGGCAACCATATGCGTATCCATGTACATATACCAGCTATTCAGTTGTGACTATGCTGTACCCCCCCCCCCCCCTTGCAGAGATTGCTGGATCCGCCGCTGATACCGATACCAATCATTTTGACCAGGAACATCGAGTACTCCTTGGCTCTCCATCCGAGTCCATTCAACATCGAGTACCTCTTTTTTCTTTTCTTTTTTTTTTTGAACATTGAAAACCGCGGCTATATACAGTACTGATTTCATTAACATTCCCTTGACTTGAGGTATGTTAGACTTCAAAGCTTTACTGCAGCTCATAACTGTCAGTGATGATGATTTGTGCCAGTTGGGCATTGAAAATACCAATAGCAACACGCCCCCCCCCCCCCCCCCCCCCCTGTGCCGGATCAGTGCCGGAAGTCACACAAACGTGCCCTGACACCTTGCATCACACTGCTTTAGTTTTGGACACCCTGAGCTGATAAATATAATCCGATCATCATCAATCCCACTGAGTCCTGTATTCGCCAAGCCATGCAAACAGGCATGTGCATGTATGTAGAGCAGCGCTGTCTGAAACACCCTACTGAGTAATGTCACTAGTCACGGTTAGCCTAACAGTTAGGTGTACTAGTAGTACCTCCCATGGCCCGTCTTCAGAGAGTAGACCTTTGTAAAACAACACAGAAAGTACTAGTCAATTGTGTGTACACATGTACATGTATATGTAGAACAACCCATTAGATGAATAAGAAGATGGTCACATCATTGACAGCTATTGATACTAGTGAATAGTGTTAGGCACTTTTTTATCTCAATACTGTACATGCAGACAGGATGTACTCAGTGTGTGCTCATGCCATGGTCTCTCCTGCACGGCGATCCTGCATTGCCAGCACCCTGGCTGCACTGTCACTGAGCTCCAAACATGCAGATAGTGTCCACCCCTGGCGGCTCAGACGTGTATGTGTGTGTGTGTGGGGGGGGGGGGGGGGAGGGCAGTGCCCAAACTGTCCCTGTGTGATTCACCGATTGAATGCTGTTACTTCAACTTCAAGTGCGCAGTCTTGCTCTAACGAGCATCTGCTGTAGTTTTGTGCTGACTGCTGCAGGGGAAACGCCGGACCCATGAACCAAGCCTCTTATGTGATGAATAGGAAGTCAGTTGCCTGCAACTTACTATTACTTGCAGTGCCAGAGTGCTTACAAAAGTCACTTTTCAGTTTTCACCAGGGCAGTCAGAATACAGCACGATCAGTGAGCGTTGAAGGATGCTTGCTGGCCAACTCTCATTGCACAGTTGTATGAATAAAGCTCTTCTTAGGCCAAGCGGCTGTAATTCTGCACGAAATACAACTTATAAGCCGTACGTCTGATTGTGGTGCAATGTCTGCTGTCATTTTGATTATCCTGATCGCAGGTGTTAATGTTGGCTTCAGTCGCTTCGTCCATGTCCGTATCCGATTGCAACGCGTCTGTGCAGCTCCACGTACTCTCCGTAGAGGTACAGCGTTGCTCCTTCAATCAGTTCGTCAACGCATGCACCGGCACTGCGAGCGGCATCCTGGCAAATGCTTACTTGCGACCTGCCTCTGGCGGGAGCGCCGCAGCTGCCTCTGGTGGGAGCGTCACGGCTGCCTCAGCAGCAACGCATAATGCAGTGTGTAGTTTGCCACTGAGCAGCCAGAGTGCTATCCCCAGCATCGGCAAGGAACAGTCGCTCCTTGTACCGTGCCTACCAGCCAGTGGGGTAAGGATCAGGAGCGTAGCTGGTCCTCTTTTTAGGGGGGGGGGGGGGGGGGGGGGTGGTGCACGGCCGCATACGTGTAGGATGGCTGGTGCATGTCATTCATGGTCGTTATGTCCATGTTGAACCTAGGTCGATAATGTTATGGGGGTGTACGTGCCCCCCCCCCCTCCCGTACCCCATGTGGACTACACCCCTGAGTAAGGATCCATCTTGGCAGGCACAAAAAAACAGGGCTGGTCGAGACAGCTCGAAATAGAGTGGTTGATACACAAATGTGCAGAGCAGTCAGTATGAAGAAACACAAGAGGCTAAGGGCTGTCGAGCTGTATCTCAGTTCAAGTTTCATGCATTTCGGCGATCATCAGACAGCGACATGACATATACATGTACAATGGACGTCAATTGCTCCCTTTAAAACAACAATAATTACCGGATAGATTTTTAGGCTTTTACCACTGTGCCCCAATAAGCCCATGGCGCTTTGCCAACTATGAATGTACATGTACAAGTAATGCATGTGAGTACACTGAGATTAGAAAAGCACTACTCAACACCTCGTTCAACCATTCCTCAGGTGGTTTCGTAGGGTATAATATAGCACTGAATATCGCTATTACCGTGTTGTTCTATAATTAATTTTTCATTTTCATGCTCCTAAAGTGCAGGTTGATATTTTCCCAGGACAAGCCCCCCCCCCCTCTCTCTCTCTCTATCTCTCTCCCTCTCTCTCTCTCTCTCTCTCTCTCTCTCTCTCTCTCTCTCTCTCTCTCTCTCTCTCTCTCTCCCTCCCTCCCTCCCTCCCTCCCTCCCTCCCTCCCTCCCTCCCTCCCTCCCTCCCTCCCTCCCTCCCTCCCTCCCTCCCTCCCTCCCTCCCTCCCTCCCTCTCTCTCTCTCTCTCTCTCTCTCTCTCTCTCTCTCTCTCTCTCTCTCTCTCTCTCTCTCTCTCTCTCTCTCTCTCTCTCTCTCTCTCTCTCTCTCTCTCTCTCTCTCTCTCTCTCTCTCTCTCTCTGCTTGCAAGAACTCCCTCTCTACTCGACAAAGTGAAATTTTACACTGTACTTTTTAGTGTTGGGTGGAAGTGAGATTGCGTTGATCAGCACAGTCTCCCAACGTACCATGATACTAGTAGTCATGTCGTGTACATGTTGCTGCATCTGTGTAGATGCCTGCTGGTGGTGTAATTGACTGCTTCATGTACACACTGCCTTACCGCGTCTTACTGTGCAGGAGGTGTCCGTGTGCTTCGCCGTGTCGTGCTGCACTGCCAATGGCGGTGGGGACAGTGCTCTGGGGGCTGTGAACGGCAGTGCATCGCTGCGGCACAGCGAGCTTTGCCTGGACTTGGCGGTTATGCAGCTGTCCGGGAGCAACTCCAGTAACGCTTCACAGTCGCCAGTGCTACTGGAGGACGGCCAGACCTCCTTGTTGGTTGCCGTGTCTGGCGGAGAGCATTCGCAGCATTCGCAGCAGCAGCAGCCGGTTCCTGGCTCGCCTTGCAACTGCGAACTGCCACTCTGCCGGGTGATTTCGTTCCTGCCAGGCTGCGCAACAAGGCAACCAGGTTAATTCTTAACTTCTTATACCGGATGTATGGTCCACTGAGTATGCATGTGGGTAGAACTGTTTGCATGCCACAGAATCAGAGGTGTGCTCTGCACATTGTGCTACCTACCCCCCCCCCCCACCACAGATTTCCCGCGTGATAAAAAAATAGCACAGTGCCATGTGGTTCCTTTCGGTCGAAGAGTATTTGATTCTTTCAACTGTTGCGTTGGGTGAACCTGGCCTCCCACCATCCTGTTTCAATGCAACCTGCACTGTGTTGCTGTTGCCAGCTCTTAAAATGTAGTCTTATGGTTGCTTCAAGCTTTGATGTTGTTGGTGCTTTTCATGTATGTGCCTGCACAGACTCGCCTGATCCCAAGGCTGACAGCAGTGATGGCGGTCTCAGCACAACTGTGATCATTGTGCTAGTGGTTGTGTTCAGCGTGTTGATTGGCACCGGTGTGTGCGGTTACTTCCTGGTGAAGGCGGGCTGCTGCCAGCAGCACGAGCCGTGCAGCACGGCGTACGGCGGGGCTAAGTCGACGGACAACAGCATGGTGTCGACGAACACGCAGTGCCAGCACGTGGAGATACGCGCTCTGCAGGACCTCACATTCGGCCGTATGTCGCCGGACCTGTCGCAGGGCCCGTCGCGGCATCAGAGCTCGTACCGGTATTCGCCAGGCGAAGAGGAGCCGGACGCCAACGTCCCGCTACCACCGCTCCCCTACTCGGAGATCATCGAGTCGGGCTCATTCGCCAAGTGGATCGACTGCATCGACATTGAAGGCAGCAGAACGTCGGTGGCGTCTTTAGCTAGCAACCGGCGCAACGATGCCACCCAGGTGACTCTGCATACGAATACGGTGGCGCTGAGCCTAAACGAATTGGATAACGCAGAGCCGGACATAGCAACCGGCGAGCATATTGGCACCAGTGTATAGCACGAACTACTAGTGTGCGCGAATAATAGGAGAGAAGAATTTGCTATCCTAGGATTCTTGAGAACTTCTGCCAGCTTGACATTCTGAGACTCTAAAGCGACGAAGCCGATAATTATGATTGTGTCCTTGATAGAACTTCACTGCCTGCCTGCTTTTTGCGCTTATAGCAGTTATTCAGTTCTGCTCGGGAATTTCAATGAAGTCTTCAGTTACGATATCACTCTATAGTTGTGTAATGCCACTGAACTCACTATTCAATATAAAACCTTGAATATTTAAATCAGAACCACGGCCGTGGTGGACTTTATCTATTGTACTTTTGCGCTGAGCTTTAAAACATCTTTGTCCTTCAAGTTTATACACAATGTGTCAAACATGACTCGTCTTTCGTTTTCTTATTTCACTCCCAGAATAAACCGGCAGAACGTGTACAGTCATGTATAAGCTGCGCCTTCGTTTCAAGTTCAAATGACCTGTCGCGTCATTTGAAGTTCTTTTCTCCGTGACTGGAACACTATGCCGGCTTTCTTGGGACCTGCCATTGCCCGAGCATTGTGTGGTGTGTGTGTGCGCGCGCGCGCGAGAGAGAGAGAGAGGGGGGGGACCTGGAACAGAGGGATGACACACCAACCGCAACGAATTCTCCAGTCGCCACCTTTCATACACCCAGCACAAGCAGTCAGGTTTGGGTAGTTTATGGATTTCTGGTATCAAAACGAAAACCAACAGCCCTAAATGGGGAGAAAAGAAAGAACCTAATGTTATCAGTGTCATTCCCTGGAAATAATCATTGGAGCTGTAACCCCAAAGTAAAAAAGAAAGAAAGACTAAGCACAATAAGCAACTTCAACTACAGTCGAGAGTATGGACTTCGAGAAAAAAATACAAACTCAGACACAAAACCATGCATGTGGAGAAGGAAAGAGGTCCAGGTAAAAATTCAAAACAATTTCCTGAAACTGGACTATGCAGACAAGGACTTCAGCGCAAGTGTACAGTAACTGGGAATAGCAGGGCAAATTACACAGCACAGCTGAGTAGGTAGAAAATGACGAGGAAATTTCCCAGCAAAGAGAGCCTAGAGAATTCAGCAAAGCCACCAGCAGGAGAAAATAAACAGCATCTCAACACGAAAAAAAGAAGAAAAAAACACGTACAGCGGAAGAAGCTAACGCAAGGCAGCAAAACTCAGTAGCTAATCAATCATTATGAAATTTGTAGACGACAAAAACTTGACCGAGCAAGAGAACAACCAATACAAAAGCAGGAGGCAACGGGAGGAGACTACGTCACCGGTGAGGTAGCTGTCAACGACGGCACTAACAGCAGCACAAGCATAACACCGTCGAGCGGCGTCGCCAGGCCAGGGCACAGATCTGCTAGCTGCTGGTCTGTGAAGTCGCTGGGTGGGAACGCATGCAGAAGGGCAGTCCCATGCGTCGCGCCTAGTTCCTGGCATAAACTCGCACCACCGGGAAGAGATAGGTCCAGTTGTGCGACACCGGCGCACTGCTTGGCACGCATGTAGTTGGCAAAGTTTTTCATATGCCGCCATTGAAGTTCGGGTGCTGCCAAATAGTCTGCGGGCATTGATGTGGGTGTAGGGTTAGTAGGGCCGCTAGCTAGACACCTCTCTTCCCCTGCATCACAGCCACTGCCAACAGCCGGCGTGGGGCTAGTTCTATCATTCTGCTTTGAAAGGAGAATGTTTCCAGGTTCCGCATCTAACGTATTCTCTCCGGTGTCCATCGCAATATCTGTCGAGGCAAGGCCAGCGGCACGGTTGTCATCATCCGCGCCCATCTTATCAGATTGTGGTGAGACGATGGAGCCAGTGTCATTACTACCCATGTACGGCTCGACAGAGGTCTTCCTTACTGCCTTATCCACCACAGCAAGCTGTGCACGCAGCTCATCAGTATCACTTGTTCCTGTCGGCAGGGCCAGAAGCCAGCTATGGTTACTGACATGTACAGTTTTCAACAGCTCGTCCAGCCTAGCGGGATCCAAGGGCATCTTTTTCGACAAAGTGATGCGCGGCACTTCCAAACAACTCAACACACCCTCCGCTAGGCCAGGGCTCTCGTCCACGGAGTGCAACCGTATCGGGCAGCACGCGTCACGCAGCACTAGGCAGCCACGCCACATCACGGCACAGCGGGCAGCAATGTCTGCCAGCGACTCGCCACCATCACCGCCGCCAATGGCGCCGTCGCTCTCGGCTACGCCACTGAACTGCCGCTTGGTGGCAGCCTCTTGCCGTTCATCGGCCGAGTGACTGCGTTTCCTATTAGTTCTTTCATCGGAGTGCCAATAATCACGCTCCGGCATTTGGCCAAATTCTCTACTCCGGCTGGCACTCCTGCGGTCCTGGTCTGCAGCACTGCCACTATTGCCGCCAACCATAGCATTACCAGCAGCGGCATCCCAATTACCCGAGCGCCCGCGCTCTCCCTGGAAATTCACTGTCAGGTCCATGGCATCGACGAAGCTCACCGCCACCGGGTGCTCGACGTTCTCCGCCAGCACGCGCACCTGGTCCTGCATGGCCTTGCGCGCACTGTCCTGCTGCTCGTACTCAACGATGGCAAACGCACTGCCGGGCCGATAGTCAAAGGCGCGCATGACGCCAAAGCGCTCAAAGCAACGCTCGAGCACAGGCTGGGTTGCCCAGCGCCCCAGGTTGTACACGTAGATGCGATTCGACGGCGTGCCTTTGCTGAAGTTCATGCGCAGGCGGCACTTCTGCAGCAGGGAGCCTTGCAGCTCCAGCTTTGCGCGGCGAGCATCTCGCATGTGTTGGAACTTAATAAAGGCATAGTCTGGGCCCATGTGCGCGCGCTTGATCTGCAGATCGTATATGTCGCCAGCACCACTAAAGTGAGCTTTGAGCTCGCCTGCAGACACGCCGGGTGGCAAGTTACCAACATACAGCGTCCTGGTAGCAGGTACGCTATCCGCTTGTGCCTGTGCTGTGCGAAAGGGCATGGCTCCCTGCTTGTCGACCGGGCCACTGTTGCCACCGTCCATCCGTTGCTGCGCCGGACGTCCACCAAGCGGCGAGAAGTTTCCGTTGCGCTGCCAGTTACTCTCGGCGCCGAATATGCGCGGCTTTGGCAGCAGCGTGATGTCCAGGCGCCGCGAGTGGAAGCTGCGGTCCTCCATTTCACGGCGAGCCGTCTTAGCGTGCTGGAGGTTCCAGAACGTTACGTACGCATCGCGCGTGTCGTCATTACGCATCGGCGCGTCAACATAGACACTACACTTACCATATCGCGTGAACGCTTGGAAGAGCTGCTTACGAAGCTGCCTCTCATCCATACGCAAACGAGTGAGCTGCAGGTTGGCCACTTTCAACTGGAACATCTTACTCCTGTTAGCTGCATCAAAAGCGTTAGTAAACCCCCCAGGTCCCATAGGCCGCCCATCTCGCCGATCTGCCGACTCTGTCCTCTGGTCAACGCGGTGATGTAATAGAGGGCTTCCATGAGCCCGACTGGGTGCTGAGTATGTGCGTCTGTGGTGATCCGGTCGTTCTCGTTCGCTGTTGGGGCCGCTTCGAGGAGTAGGTCGAAGCGGTGGACGGTCACGCTCGCGCTGTCGCGGGTTACCTGGCCCAGGATGGCGAGTAAAACTGGAATCGTGGGACGATGCAGGGCGATATCGCCCTGGTCCGTGTGACATTGTTGTTCACAATCGTGTCATAATTCTTTCTTTCCACGTGCCACGAACACCAACTGAGACTCTCAGCAAACAGGGAACGGAGCCCCACAACTCTATAACAAGCACAGTCGACTCTGAACACTTGGTGACTTGGCTGGTCCAGTTGGGCCAAAGCTGGGTCTTCCAAATCGTTCACTCCCAGCCAGAGGTTTACAGGTGAAATGCTTTTAGAAATGTTTGAAAATCAAGCACTCCGTTTGCTTGCTGGCTATTTTCTCCACTCGAATATTTTTTTTGCGGTAGATCTCAAGTGCATCCAAAACCGGGGAGTCGTACAAACTCCCTGCCTAGACGCGTAGATGCCTGGCCGGTACGCGATACGCGAATCGGGCGGATCGCAGTGCAGTGGTAGATCACAGGCGCTAGGCACATGCACATGCGGGTGGTGCAAGCTCATACATGCTTCCCGCTTGTGTGCTTTGGCCAGTTTGCCGCGTTTGCCTGTTTGGGTCATCAACCAACGCCAGGGTCGTAGACCAGTGCAGTGGTAGACCGGGAAATCCAAACGCCATTTTGATTTCGAATCGCGCGCATGCGCACGGTTACACAGTATCGTCGGGCGCATACAACGCGATTTGCCGTTGTTGAGTCGAGATCTGCAGTAGAAAAATTTCAGCTGTTGAACAGAAACGAAGTTCTCAAGTTCAGCTGTAGGTGTAGTGTTGTGGATATGTGAGAGTTGTGGAGATGGCGAATGACGAGTCTCTGTACCCCATTGCTGTGCTTATCGATGAGCTAAGAAATGAGGACGTCCAGTTACGGCTTAACTCTATCAAGAAACTCTCCACGATTGCTATCGCATTGGGAATTGAACGTACACGAAATGAGTTGGTTCCTTTCCTGACGGACACTGTTGATGACGAGGATGAGGTGTTATGGGCTTTAGCTGAACAGCTTGGGGCTTTCATAGACCTTGTTGGTGGACCGGAATATGCTCACTGCTTGCTGCCACCATTGGAGAGCTTAGCAACAGTTGAGGAGACAGTAGTCAGGGATAAAGCTGTGGAATCACTGGTTGCTGTGGCTGAGCAACATTCGCAAACTGACTGTGAGGCACATTTCGTACCTCTTGTGAAACGCTTGTCCCAGGGCGACTGGTTCACGTCTCGGGCTTCGGCATGTGGATTGTATACTGTTGCCTACAAGCTGTCCTCAAAGAGCATACAGGGTGAATTGAGGCAGCACTTCCGCTCCTTATGCTCTGATGACACACCAATGGTGAGACGCTCAGCTGCGAGCAGGCTGGGCCAATTTGCCAAGGAGATGCACCTGGACTACGTGAAGAGTGACATTGTGCCACTGTTTGCGCAGTTGGCTGGCGACGACCAGGACTCTGTACGCCTGTTGGCCGTTGAGTCTGCGGCACCCATTGCAGCGCTGCTGAACCAGGCCGATGTTGAGTCATTGATCATGCCAGTGGTTCGCATGGCAACGACAGATAAATCATGGCGTGTACGCTACATGATCGCGGACAAGTTTGCGGACCTTCAGAACTCGGTAAATCCCAACACGAATCGCACCGAACTCGTTCCGGCGTATAGCTCGCTTCTCAAGGACCCGGAAGCGGAGGTCCGCGCTGCAGCGTGCCAAAAGCTCAAGATTTTCTGCAACAATCTGCCGGAGGAAAGTCGTGCTAGCGCGATCCTGGAGGAGATTCTCCCGTGTGTGGAGGTAAGCAATTGTTGAATGGCGACCTAATTCGTTTGTGGTGTGCAGTTCATGCTTTGCGCATGCGTAGCGTCCGAATGTATTCAAAGTAGACCATGGTGTCCACAGCCAACTGCTGACTAGCTCCAAGTGAGGCAGGCAAACACTAATACGGCATGGCTAATGGAGTCCAGGCAGATTCCTTATACTTATACAGTCAAACCTCGCTTATCCGGTCTTCTTTTATCCGGATCCCTCGCCATCCGGAAGAAAATTGTAGGTTACCGATTTACGGCATATGTCATGCATACATACAGTATGTGTGTTCGATTGTCCAGTTCCCTCGCCTATCTGGGTATGTTTGTGGAAAACGGATGTGTGCGGGTAAGCGAGGGCTGACTGGAGTGGCTACTTCTGGATGGTAAATCACATTTCTCTGATCCCGGCCACATGCCATTGTGTGGAAGCTACTGTGGCTAGTATAAAGAGGAGGATGCTTCACGACACATAGCGCTTTCCTGGCTGTAAGAAAGCAGTGACCCGTAGGAAATATGGGTTTGCAATGTGCCACGTGGGTATACTGTGTGGCAATATCAACAGTGTAATGCCGTCCAACTGGGACTCGGATGTATTGAAAACTTGAGCCACCTTCATAGAAGCTAACAGCTCATAGTCTGCTGGTAACTAAAACCCCATTCACAATATCACTTTCTGTGATGCTGCACTTGCGATTCGGAAATGCCTGTCACGTGCTGTCGCAAGGCCACTGTCGCAGAAGTTGACCAAAGTTCAGCGTTTGCGACGTACACCAATGGAGCACAGTTTACTGGGCTGGATGCAGTATGCGTGTATGCACTATACACTGCATTTACTACAGTGCTGCTCACTGATATCCAATCGCGTCACTCAGGTTTGCGCCTTGCACCATTTCGCAGCCGAGTGTTCGCCGGTCTAGGGCTGCGTAACGCCCGGCGTGTACTTGAGTGATGCGACTGGATTTCATTGAGCAGCACTGTAGAAGATGTCGCATACGCTACAGAGATTCTGAATCGTGTGCCGCGGTCACAGATGTTTATGTCGCGCATCGCAAACGTGGTATTGTGAATGGAGCTTTATAGGCCATCCACGCGATGTGCAAACTCATGTTTATAGCACCGTTTCCAAGGATATTTGCTCTTTAATTAATATGCGGTGAACTTTGACATAGGCGCGCAGCTGATTTGTGAACGTGGCCGGGACCCTTCTGCTCACAATTTTACTTTGCGCGCGAGCAAGTGTGTCGGGCATTACAGGAAATTCAAACTTCTCTGCTTTTTCACGAGGTCACTAGGGATAGCGTTACATTGACGCATGCAAAATTTGCCCTGAACCGGGTCGACGGTATGCAAATGATTCTGTGGCCGCACGTGTGTATGCATTTGCACGTTGGGCAGCCTACCGTATTAGAGAGGTTAAGATGCACGTTATTTCCGACGTGACGCGCAATTTCACGTCAAATTTGGCATAAAACTCCAAATTTCGACGTGAGCAGCAGGTCACTCGCGTTGATTTTTCGACGTGCGAGCCAAATAACGCGAGCTGAACTTTCGCGTCACGTCAGAAATAACGCGCATCTTAACCTCTCTAATATCTCCGTTATAAACCCTGGGCTTATATTTGTTCAACCAGACCTGACCTTGGGCTTATAATTTTTCAACCATCTGGTACAAGTATTTTTTTCTTGTGCTTTGAAGACCAGTAGCACGAAAGTTCCCACCAGGTACCGTGAATGCAGTTTTGCACTTCCTGATACAGTCTGTACATTTTATCTCGGGGGATCACAGACCTGCGCCACAACATGTATGTGATACTGTGGACGTCAAGCGTGCATGGACATGATCCATACAGTTCTCCATCATACGCCCTGCGCTTATATTGGAGAATGCGGTTGTATATCTTCGAAGCCCTCTTGGAGTGCGCTTATAGTAGAGACTGCGCTTTTAATGAAGATAATACAGTATAAGGCATTCGCTCCATTGGAAACTTAGGATGTTTGAATCCCCCCCGTTCTTCCTCACATGCACTTGCACGCCGACACCGTGTTATGATGCAACAAATGTGTATGTCGCTAGCCAATGATGTGCTCCTGCTTGGCTGCTTGGTTGTTTCCAATATGTACTTATATCATGTCCTTTTGTGTTGTGTGCGTTACTGTTGTACGCTCTGCATGTGTGTACGCGTGTGTGTGTGTGTGCAGGGACTGGTTTCAGATGCCAATCAGCATGTGAAGACAGCGCTGGCGTCGGTAGTGATGGGCCTTGCACCGCTGCTCGGAAAGGAGCCGACTCTAGAGTACCTGCTGCCCTTGTTCCTGACTCAGCTGCGCGACGACTGTCCCGAGGTACGGCTCAACATTATCAGCAATCTGGATGCAGTCAGTAAGGTCATTGGCATTGGTCAGCTCTCACAGTCACTGCTGCCTGCTATTGTTGAGCTTGCGGAGGACCAGAAATGGCGTGTGCGGTTGGCGATCATCGAGTACATGCCGCTCCTGGCCAACCAGCTCGGCGTGGAGTTCTTCAACGAGAAATTCAACCCACTCTGCATGACGTGGCTTGCTGACAATGTGTATGCGGTGCGCGAAGCAGCTGCCAGCAACCTGCGGCGTCTTGTCGAAGCGTTTGGCTCGGACTGGGCCAAGGTTCACCTCATTCCCAAGGTGCTGGCAATGTCGCAGGACCCGAACTACTTGCACCGTCTGACGACGCTGTTCTGTATCAACGTCCTAGCGGGCGTTGTCAGCAGTGACATTGTCAACACGAGCATCGTGACCGCCCTGCGGCAGCTGGCCGGTGACAGTGTGGCAAATGTGCGCTTCAACGTGGCCAAGACCGTCAAGCACATCTCCAGTACGTTAGGAGAGGACGTCGTTGAATCGTCCATTCGGCCGGCTCTCCAGCAGCTAGCAACCGACTCCGATATTGATGTCAAATTCTACGCGCAAGAGGCCCTGACGGCAGTTGCATGACAGGCAACTGCACCATCAGTAGGCCAACAGTGCTATCTGGATTTAGACTGACTTCACGGCTTGTGTTCCTCGCCAACACTCTATTCTATATTCTTGGTGTCCCCTCTCTGATGTGGACGGACAAAGTTGCTTTTATCACTATTTGAATACTGGAGTAGTCAGTTGGCTGCCATGCGTCCAATTTCTCGTCAAATCGTCACCATCAGCGTATTGTGGCTACATGGGAAAGTAAGTTGTTCACAGGTTGCCGATAGGCTTGTATATGCCATTGGAAGTCCTAGCCCGCACCGGCGTGCTGCCGTGCGGCGTGATCCAGACACTGTGTTTATTCATGCCTTAGTTAACGTGTTCCCTAGCAGAGGCCGTCCTATCCACTGCGCTCCGCGTTGGCCGCTTTCCTTCCTCGTGGTGGCAGCGCTCACTCTTGCCCCCTCTGCTGTCCCTTTCCCTTTCGTTTCCAATCTGACCGACTCTCCAACTGCATGTCCTCTGTTAGTTCTTTTATTGTTCAATCTTGACCAACTGTGTATAGACTTCAGATTTCTCCATTGGCCAACCGCTGCCACGTTGGCCTCGGCTCCCACTGTACAGCCCCTGTCCCAGACTAACTTTTACGCACGTGCATCTTATGTTTTTGAGCCTCCGGCACATGCAGGGCGATTTTAACTGCTGCTGCGTCTGCAGGTTTTTAATATCCGGTCGCTGCTTCCACTCGGTCTGCATTCAGATGTCTATTCTCGTTGTTGTCAGCTGTTGTCTTTACTGTATGTTTCTTTATTATTATTCTTACTTCTTATTAAAAATAATAATAACAAAGGCCCCGTGTCTGTAAATCCATCCGGCTGACACTGGTGCCTGCGGCGGCCAGCTTAGTGCAAGCACACTCTGCTCCCAGCTCCGAATCCAACTAGCTCGTTGTTGCATGTGTTCCCCATCCGCTTTAGCAGGATGCTTTCGTCTCCCATTGTTGGTACCCCGACCGTCTAGTTTTCGTTCCTGCTTCGCTGGTACACTTTTACACAGCTGAATTCTGCTTTTTTTTTTATGTTTCGTTGTAGCTCTTTTGATTATGTGGTTAAATTTACGCTTCGTCTCAAGTGCATGTGGCAGACAACTTGCACTGTACATTTAGTGGGCCAGTTTTTCTGTCCCCTTCACCATCTCATTTTATGACAATGGGTTTTTTTTATTGATGCTCCTGTTTCTCTACTGCTGGCCATTGTTCAGTTGTGAGTGGGCTGTGTATCTGTGTGTATCTGTGTGTATCTGTGGCTGTACATACTGTTGATCAATTTCTCGTGGAAATCGTGCACTGGTACACGCGCGGTGCCTATCACAACGCCTGGCCGTGGTGTGTATGTCTTCTCCAGGGCGCGTGGTGTGTGTACTTCTTACGCGTGCAAGCGACTGTCCTGTCCATGCATGATTCTACACGACACTACATACAGTGAAATAGTGGCGCAGTCGTGGTTTGTTGGTAGAAATCAGGCAGTCTCTGGATGATTGAAGCTTCCAGGGAGTAGTACAAATAAAATTATGCATGGTAATGTTCTACTCCCTGGAAGCTACAAAGCCATCTTGTGTTCACGCATCAAAAGGGCTGTGCACATGACTATATATGTACCTGTATTTTGATGTTCTATTTTACTAGTGTTATCCTGAGACTGTCGTCATGCTCATTATTAAAAATTTTACTTGTGAACAGAGCGGGAACGCAAATCCATGTCATCACATGTATTATCTAAATCTGTATTTGGGTTCCAGTTTTGAAATGGTTCTGGTCAGATTTTGAATGTGAAATTTTGCCTGGTGCTACCCATTCACCTTTTGTGTACACCGAGCTGAAAATCTGATTTTCTCAAATTTGGTGCTTGCTGTAGGGTTGAAAGTGTGACGATTTGCAAAAATGCCCTACTTAGCAGGCACAAAGTACCCTGCAATCACACACCTGTCTTCTATTTCTCTACTCCAGAGGAGAGAAGGAATAACATACGTGTAACGTTTCTTCTTTCTATTTAAAATGTTAGACCTTGCACCCCGTTAGAGATTCAACTCTGACAGTATCAAGTTTTGTTTTTCAGCTCTTCATGTGTACATGTATGTATTAACATTGCAAAAAGGCGATGTTGATGATGCTCACTGTCCACATTTACTTGAAGTAGAACGCGTAATACACAATGTATCAGCTGCCAGTGCCCTGTTGGATATCCACCGATATGCCGGATGACTGACTGCCGGACAAGCGACATGTGACCAATTCTTGATAGTAGTCAAATGGATATCATCATACCCTACAAGCTATCGGGTGGGCCCCATCAGGGTTGAATGCACAAATCTACGCACTTGCGCTCATGATTTTCACTACAAACCCACACTCACATGCAGTGCTTGTATAATGCTCAGTCGGCTAACAGTCTACACCAGGGAGTATAGTAAAAATAATTTTAAATAGTTTCCTACTCTGGCCTCAGGGTGTACACCTGAAAAAAAAGTTGACCACCTCTACTGTACATGTACCTAGCTTAATTAAAACAAATAGCACAAAGAAAATCAGATTCAATGCACTGACTGTTCTTAAAGGGGAAGTTAAGGCAAAAATTAAAATTTCACCAGTTGTAGTCTTCGGGGTGCTGAGTCGAATGGTCTTGGTCCGAGGAAGCTGAGACGCTTCCTTCCTACTTGAATCCCAATCGAACTCGCGCACTTCCACCGAAACTGGGTGACTGCGCCCTACTAGATGGGGATTTGTATGCAAAATGTCACTAAAAGCGCCATTTCGTTCTTATAAAAGCACGGATGACCGCGATTGGCCCATATGTTGTAGTCTTTTGGACGCTGAGTCGACTGGTTTTGGTCCGAAAAGGCTGCGATGCAGCGTTCCTCCTTTATTCCCAATCGAACATGGTTGAAGAAGCTGTCACGTGCTCCTGGGTGCCCAAATCACCTGGTCACCACGCCAGCAGGCGACAACTTTCACACCAAGGTTCAACTCGAGTTCAACTCGAGTGACAGGACTGCACCCAAAAAAGGTCAAACAGGCTAGTAAGTTGTACCCTGCAGGCACGGTGACCAGCTGACTGGTGTACGCAGCAGCACGTGACCACTTGTTCGACCATGTTCGATTGGGAATAAAGGAGGAACGCTGCTTCGCAGCCTTTTCGGACCAAAACCAGTCGACTCAGCGTCCAAAAGACTACAACATATGGGCCAATGGCGGTCATCCGTGCTTTTATAAGAACGAAATGGCGCTTTTAGTGACATTTTGCATACAAATCCCCATCTAGTAGGGCGCAGTCACCCAGTTTCGGTGGAAGTGCGCGAGTTCGATTGGGATTCAAGTAGGAAGGAAGCGTCTCAGCTTCCTCGGACCAAGACCATTCGACTCAGCACCCCGAAGACTACAACTGGTGAAATTTTAATTTTTGCCTTAACTTCCCCTTTAAATATTTAGAATGAAATACAAAGCAAAGAACACTGGGCATGCGTAACTCACTAACTGTTAGAACAAAAACTTGGAAAAGGCGCGCGATCAAGTTAGTTCAAATGATTCATGGAGCCCTGCAAACACCACATACACATGTATGTACAAAATGGCTAACCGGCTGCGTTTCTTGTTCGAACTGCTCACAATAATTATCCTGTGAAATGTTTATGTAAAGAGAAAATGACTTATAAGTTACTAGTTATGACTAGCAGTCCACCAAGGTAACAAGATAATAATACAGTCAGATTGTCGAACGTCTCATAATCTTGTCAGTTTTGTCCCTCATTGTCGCACTATATGACTACTTCAAAGTACACATGTAATTATAATTATATTACTTGTATCTCGTTAGTCGTTACCTTTTAGACTAGAAAGAGAAGTTAGTGGACTGTTAGTCATAACTAGTAACTTACCGGTATAGGTCCTTTTCTCTTTACATATTACTATTGGCTCAACATCCGAGTCTGCAAAATGTTGAAAGGTGAATATAATATTATATATTTTTCATTTTCGGGTGGTATAGAGTAGAGTCTACCCGGTTACTATCAGGTCAGTCATCTAGGGAGCAGGATCTTGTTTGACCACTAATTCTTATCATATGGTGCCGAGCATCCCCGAATGTGATGTGACAAGTGACAGATTCATGTTTGGCATGGCATCACGATGCAGTACATCTGATATATAGGCGACAAGGAGACACTTACTTTATTATAGCAGTGAATAGTACTAGCGAGGTGGACATTACGAAAAGAACAAATTTTGTTTCCCCGCCTGGCTTCTATTGTTGAGACGTCTTTTACTGATGAGTGCCTCATGAAAATCAATTAGGAAACTTGAATTTAGATTCACCATATTCTCTTTGTTCTTTCCGTAATGTCCGCCTCACTGATACTAGTATTCATCGCCTCGTAAAAGACCCCTCGCCTTTGCCTCGGTCTTTACTATACTAGTGTGCTACGATGGCCCATGGGTCGAGCAGTCAAACAGAAATCTTGAGTGATTCGCTTCTTCCCACCAGTCACACGCAACATACTTTCAAAGGGCAGATCGGCTACAGGGACAAACAGGATATTGTGGACTCAGTCAGCCCTGCAGTCCCAGAGGTGGGTTGGTCACACAGAACATACTTTCAAAGGGCAGATCGGCTACAGGGACAAACAGGATATTGTGGACTCAGTCAGCCCTGCAGTCCCAGAGGTGGGTTGGTCACATCCAGATCCGACTATACGGTCATGCATACATTGAGTGGATGCAATCGCACCGTATTTTCCGGAGCATAAGCCACACTTTTTCAACACCAGTGATTCACCCAAAAAACCGAGCTTGCCTTATACTACAATGGTCAACTTAACAACGGTGCTAAATGGGGTAGAAGCAATCCACAATGGGCCGCTTTTAATCAGATGTCTGGCCAGCTGCACACAAACGCTGCACGACCCGTATTGAAACTTGACCAATGATTAGCAGGTTCATTGAACAAAGTCTATGTGCACGTGTGCGAGGGTCTTTGATTGCAGAGGCGAAGAAAGTCTTATACATATTATACCTGTCTCTACGTCACAGCTGTTAAGTATTCATCGAGCACATCGTGCAAAAGAGCAAACGCCTCGCTGAGCCGCTCTCGCTCGCAGCCGTAGCGTTCATACCAGTGCAGGAATGCGCCGCTGGCAAACATGCGCTCGGATTTGTTCAGAATAGTACTCACTGTATGCACCACTGATGCACTGTTACACGCCACCGTCAGCGTTGTGGAGGCACGTGACCCGCCTGCCGCCCTCGCCGTCCAAATGTCCACCGGCGAAGGGTTCCAATCTGCACACCTGAACCCCTTCGACAAGTTCTTCTCCAGCGCACCCAGCTCACTTACGAGAGCATCACGCCGCGAGCCACGTGCCACTGCCACAAGGCTTGTCGTCTGGTAATGAGCCGCACTCAAGCGGCTCAGAACGTCCGAAATGTGCCGGCTGTGAGCAGGTGCTGTGGTGCCGGATCCACGGGCGTAGCGCGTCAGCCGGTGCTGCTTTGCCAGCTGATCAGCCATCGCCGTCCACGATCGGGCGTGAGACTGCCAGCAGTGGTCCACCGTGAACAGCTTCAGGGAAGGCAGCGGACACACCGTTCTGCATAGGTCCCACGGTTCAAGACCTATCGACCAGCTACGCACAGATCATCGGCATAGGCGGCAGTGATGGTGGTGGTGTCGACACGGATATCACCAAGAGATGTGCCCAGAAAAAATACAGAGAAAACACCGGAGACTATTGTATAAGCTGCTAAGAAGTGTATCTGTATCCTACAAAGACACAGACTGTACCCAATGATGTATTAAAGGGGAAGTATACCCTAAAATCAAATTTTCACCAGTTGTAGTCTTCGGGGTGCTAAGTCGAATGGTCTTGGTCCGAGGAAGCTGAGACGCTCCCTTCCTACTTGAATCCCAATCGAACTCGCGCACTTCCACCGAAACTGGGTGACTGCGCCCTACTAGATGGGGATTTGTATGCAAAATGTCACTAAAAGCGCCATTTCGTTCTTATAAAAGCACGGATGACCGCGATTGGCCCATATGTTGTAGTCTTTTGGACGCTGAGTCGACTGGTTTTGGTTCGAAAAGGCTGCGATGCAGCGTTCCTCCTTTATTCCCAATCGAACATGGTTGAACAAGCGGTCACGTGCTCCTGCGTACACCAGTCAGCTGGTCACCGTGCCTGCAGGGTACAACTTACTAGCCTGTTTGACCTTTTTTGGGTGCAGTCCTGTCACTCGAGTTGAACTCGAGTTGAACCTTGGTGTGAAAGTTGTCGCCTGCTGGCGCGGTGACCAGGTGATTTGGGCACCCAGGAGCACGTGACCGCTTGTTCAACCATGTTCGATTGGGAATAAAGGAGGAACGCTGCATTGCAGCCTTTTCGGACCAAAACCAGTCGACTCAGCGTCCAAAAGACTACAACATATGGGCCAATCGCGGTCATGCGTGCTTTTATAAGAACGAAATGGCGCTTTTAGTGACATTTTGCATACAAATCCCCATCTAGTAGGGCGCAGTCACCCAGTTTCGGTGGAAGTGCGCGAGTTCGATTGGGATTCAAGTAGGAAGGGAGCGTCGCAGCTTCCTCGGACCAAGACCATTCGACTCAGCACCCAGAAGACTACAACTGGTGAAAATTTGATTTTAGGGTATACTTCCCCTTTAAGACTTGCTTTCTCACGCAGAGTCGTCATCCAAACACTACCATCACTCCCCGAGGATACACGTATGAGGTCAAGAGAATGCATTTCTCAGCTTTCCAACGAATCCCCAGGCCAGAATTCGACCTCCACTGCAGCATGTTCTTTAGACTTGAAAACACCTCCATATCATTCATGCTCCTCCAAACCTCCAGCTGCACCACCTGTCAACTATGACCGGTATGAAATACAGCGGCGAGTGAAGTAGCAGCAGCCATTGGTAAGCAATGTTTGTAGCAGATAAAAGGCACCAAACCCGGCCATATCTCGGACGCTTTGCAAAGACCTCATCATCATGAAAGCAAGGTACTTTGTTGACATGATGTTCTGTCACCAGTGCCCACTTCTTCTCATCACATTCACGTGGCATTGGGTAGCAGATGTTGCATGCCAATCAAGTACATTGTGTTGTGCCCAGGGCTAGAAATCATGCAACCATATAGGGAAAACATCACTCTCAGTGACAGTAGATATCTGTTCCGCTGATCACAGTTGGCATTGATCAGAACCAGTCATCCGCAGGAGCGCACACCACCCTCAAGGACAAAAGGCAAGTTCAGCTCCGAAAGAGGTGAATTGCCAAAAAGATGAGACCCGCTGCAAAGTTGTTGTTGACTTTTATTTTACTTCGACAAAGTCACGGGTCAAAGAGCAAAACTCCTATCATCTGCTTTCACGTTACCCTCAAGGTTACTGATCATAATGTGCAGCACTTCAGTACGGTGGAGTCTGGTTTTAAAATTATGCCGGGATAGTTGAGGAACATGCAAGGAATGTTCCTTTTCAGAGTACTAGGATCATGTTCCCAGGATTTTTACTCAGTGCGAGACACATCTTCCGGTTTGAAATCCTATTTCTACAAGGAACCGTATAGTTCACCGGCTCCAGGACTCACACCACTGACCAGGTAAGCAGTGCAGCCGCATTCCAAGTCATGAACACGGCTCGTCAGGGAAGTTGGTAACGTTCAGACTCAGTAGAAGTGTAGAGCCACAAACCCTGTGATTGTACAGTACTGTCGGCCACCGACTGAGAACTGGGTGTCAGCCTCCTAGCCTAGACCGTTCAGTCCTATTTCCATGTCTATTGCGGTTGAGTCATTGTGCATACATTGGCATGCTGTGCCTGATCGTTCTTCGGCACCCGGCAGTGCTGTAGCGTTCATGTTTTATTCTTGTAGTGGACGAGGAGATCATAACATTCACATCTATAGCAGCCCGCTTTCTCTGCACTGTGGGCTGATTGCTACAGAGAGATGGTTAGACTGCAGAACTGCAATCTCCACAGCAACAGCAGTGCAGTGAAGCGAACATGTACTTGTAGGAACAGACACTTCAGGTTCTTCAGAAACACACTGAAAATTTTCACAGATAAAAATGTTGAAGGACCTGAAGTGTCAGCTCCTAAAACGTGTTATAAACAATACACTCTATAGTTTACTTACCCTCCCAGGGATGCTCCGGAAGCGGAATTCTCCGCCGGAAGAAATAGGCCGCACATCATCTCGGCGCCGAGACGATTCATGTCGGCAAGCGTCGCGTGCGTACAACTCGTCGCTGATGCGGACGCTGCCGTTCGAGGTCGGTAGTGTGCCGCCGTCGACGCCTGTTCGCTCTGGCATTGCCGGAGTAGCAAGTCGTTCTCCAGTAGCAGTATCCCGTCACAGTGGCTGTACAGGTGCTGCAGACACAGGGCGCAGTTATACCACTGCATTGGACTTTCACCATTAAGCAGCGGTGCTACACATACCGACAGCTGCTGAGCAAGTGGGTACTCGTCACGCAAACACTCAACCAAGTGGCTCCCCATGCCTGCAAGGAGAACGAAGGGAAATCGTTCGATTATTTCAGGCCTTCGTGTAAGGAAAGTGCAGGAGACAGTGAGCAGTCACTCCTTATTTCCTGTCAGGAGACTGACAGAAAAGAATCCCCCCTCCCCAAAAACCGCTTACACACCCGTGTTTGATTGGGAAGAAGGACGAACGCTGTATCGCAGCCTTTTCCGATCATAACCAGTCGACCCAATGTCCAAAAGACTACAACATATGGGCCAATCGCGGTCATTCGTGCTTTTATAGGAACGAAATGGCGCTTTTAGTGACATTTTGCATACAAATCCCCATCTTGTAGTGCGCAGTCACCCAGTTTCGGTGGAAGTGCGTGAGTTTGATTAGGAATAAAGGAGGAAGGGAGTGTCTCAGCTTCCTCGGACCAAGACCATTCGACTCAGCACCCCGAAGACTGCAACTAACTGTTTTAAAAAAACTTGTGAAATATGTGATCGACACTAAAATTTAATCTTTGTACAGTACCGGTAGTATCATGATGGCTCACCTGATCCAGTACCGCCACTCAAGCTGTGCGTCACAACGAATCCGGAGAACGCATCACAGCGCTCCACTTCACGTCGCAGAGACTCGAGCGTTTGGTCCAGCAGGGTGCAACCATCTATACAGCGACTTCCAGTTCCACTGGCCGACTCCACAAGCTTGCTGTAGCCCATGGCCCAGTTCGCACCGCGCCCACGACGACTGCACAGAACATTCTCATCTCGTAGTACATAATCATTGGTCGATGTTGCACTGGCCTTGCTGCCTGCTGCATTGGACTTATTCCGAATATTTGAGCGGCACGACGTCCTGCGCACCGCGTCCAGGACTTTCGGCTCCGTGTCGACCAGCACTCGGCGTTGTCGACCGTCCACCGTGTAGAATGGGTGTCTCTCTCCAGCGCTGTCCGCCGCACTGCCAGTGCCAGTGGTGCGCTCGTCCACACACTTCCAGAAAGCCTCGCCCAGTTGAACGCCACATTGGCCTACATTCAGAAACACTGTGGACATAACCAGTGTAGTATTGTTGGTCTCAAATTCAATCAAAGCCCAGTTACAGTACTAGGCTACGGAAGTTTGGACGGAACACCAAGACTTGCCAGCGGTAGGTCTACATAACCATAATGATAACCAACAGTTACGTTACTTCAGCTATCTAGCTTGCGAGTCCGGTGTTTTGTGTGGACTAGGCTGAGGTCTATGTCTTTGAGTTTGCACAACAGGCAACACTCAAGCAAGAGATCGAGATAAGGATGCGCGCACGTCTTATGGTAAGTTATGCTCAGTGCTCACACTCACAGACTAGACAGTACGGAGCATCAGCAAATCGAATTTTCGATTTGATTATTCGAATGGCAAAAAGAAAATCAGAGAGAAAATTCGAATGAAAAAGAGGTTCAGCATGTAGCGCAGTCCAGTATTTTTAGCTACATGCACAAGAATGAGTACTCGTAGTGCGCCGTGTACCAGAGCACGCGCGGAGCATTCGAAAAGTATTCGAAAAGTATTTTCTGTTTGCGGGCATTTTTCAGTCGAACAAAGCCCTAGTTAAGTTTCGACTGATTGAGTGCTTTTCGTGACGATTCTCGAATTTCACTCGAATATTCGATTTGCTGATGCTCCGTAGTGACACAAAAGCACATGGCGACATGTTCATTATTCGAAAATGAGCGGGAAGCACAGCGCAGGCCGATCTACGAGTACTCATTTTAGTCCATGGCCAAGCCAAAATCCAAGGTCAAGCCATCGGCATCATCAGACATCAAGGACAAGGGCTAGCTCCATCCCAGCGCTAGCGCCAGCGGGCCCGGTCTTGACATCAGTCATCACTGTGATCATGGTCCGCCGCCATCACCATGATCACTCCCATCAGTCATCAGTCATCACTGAGTCTGTGATCATGGTCCGCCGCCATCAGTGTCCGTGGATCGATACGACGATAGATCTACCACTTGACTGCAGGATCAGGATAGGACGGCCGGACGGTAGATCTACGCCTACGGCGCCAGTATGCATGGTATGGCAGTAGATCTACGGCCCGGGTGAACAGCTCGAGAGTCAAACGGTAAAACACCATGCTACAGACAGTTCAGTGGAGTCTGTGACGAAACTGGAAAGTCTTTCGATGATTGTGCAGTTTCCTGAGGGCGCGCACTAGCTGGACGCTGACAAGGCCCACCATTACTCAAGTCAAGGCACCATGGTCTTCGCCTTCGGCCGTTCGGAGCTAGCTACTTGGCATTACAGATTAGTTCAGCGCGATCGGTTTGCGCTTTTAGTTAGGGTGCGCTATCATGAACTCAAGGCCCCCACGTCCACAACCACTTCTCAGCAACTGAGGCCGGCAGGGCTTACATGTACGTGCGTGGCGTGAAGGCTTTAGATGGGCATCGCTGGAGCTACCGTCCTTGAACGAAGAATGCCTCGCTGAGACTGTGCAGGATGTTTGACCGTTTTTAGCGCTACCACTCATTATCACTCACTGTCTGTGTTATCGCTGAAAAGTGAAAGGGTACGTGTATTACGGTAAGTTTAGATATTATGTAGCGCCTAAAATAATTTGTTGCACGATGTTGAAGTGAGGATGACTGAGGCTTGTTGCAGCTCATTCCCAACACTCTGCAAACACTGAACTCCGGTTTCGTGTCGATTTGATCAACATGTTCGTCTCTCAGCATCAAGTGATAATAGAGAGGTTATGATGCACGTTTTGTCCGACGTGACGCGCAATTTCTCGTCACATTTGGCGTAAAACTCCAAATTTCGACGTGAGCTGCAGGTCACTCGCGTTGTTTTCCAACGTGCGAGTCAAATAATGCGAGCTGAACTTTCGCGTCACGTCAGAAATAACGTGCATCTTAACTTCTCTAATACTAATAGCAAGAGTCCATAAACCATGATAAACAAGAGTATGCAACTGTGATCTCTTTTCTATGGGTAGGGAGTTAAATCGAAAAACCAAATTCCCTAGTTTCGCATAAAACCGGGAAGATGTGAGAAACCTGTGAAAATTTGAACCCAAAATTCCAAGCCAATGGGGAGTTATACAATGTAGTCAATTGAAGAACGGAGAATTGGGGTGAAAACAGTAACAGAAGTAAATGCATCGTGTGCATGTGGGCCGTGTGGTGCAAGTACCATATTTTCCAGAGTATAGTGCGCACTTTAGATGTGCTATTTTAGGCCCTAAATTGCAGGTGCGTACTATGCTCCGAATATGAAATGCATGTACTTCAATGACGATTGAAGTGCGCACCCCCAATGAAGATTGGGGGTGCGCGTTATACAAAGGTGCGCACTATCTCCGAAAAATACGGTATGTATGTGGGCCGTGTGGTTTCCGTCCAGCACTGCGCTATCTGGTGTGTACATGCAGAAGTGCATGGCAATACAGGATGTGTGCATGTCTGCAGTGTGCATGCATGCCGTGCGCGCCTACTTGCACAATTCACACGTTTTTACCGTCACCGCTTCTACAGTGTGTGCGCAGTTCACTCAACTTTTTTCGTCCACCACCAGGAAATCGCCATGGGTTGGTTTCTGTGATCATTTTCCATCTACCGCGAGAAAGCGTGGGCCTTAATGTTCTAGAATCCTCTTGTTTTCGACTAATTTGTGACCGCTGAACACGAAAACCGGGCGTTCCTCGCGGGACCGAGAACACATCTGGTCGAAATTAGTACTTTTTCGTTTTCCCGCGACCGGAACTGAACTTCCTACTATGGGCCTGAGATGCGCGGCTCGCTGCCCTCAGTACATCATCCAGCTGCAGTCCGTGCACTGCGGAAAATCAAACACCGCACTTTCTCTCTCGTTTGAAATGAACTTTCGTACGGAACTGGAGTTCACACGCCAAAAATGAGAGATTGCGTAGGTACTGGAACGAATCGAGCAAACACGGATGTGTTCGTACGAGAAATTGGGGGGTTGCCTGAGTGCATGCTTTCCGAGCATGATGGAGGCAAGTCATGTAGTGAAGGCGGCACGCCGCTCACTGACTAATAACCACAGTTGCATACTCTTGTTTACTCACTCTTGATAATAGGTGTTGTTACTACAGTTTTAAATACTTCACCAAATACGGTTTCTGGACTGCAAGACTGAACAAATTGAAGAATTCTTGGCTAGGGCTGAAAGGAATATTCAAATATTCGAAATATGCAGACCGGAAATAGATTATTCTTCGTTTATGTGGAATAAGAGTATTCGTAAATGTACAGAAACTCGCCTTTTTGATATAGAATAGGCGTACGTGGTGCAGAATATGAGTAGGCTTGTCTCCTTGCATGTGGTATCATCAGCAATCCAAAAATTAATGATAACACTGTCCTTTTCAAATGGCTCTCTTGTAATATGGGTAGCCACCAGTTGATGGTCTATGGTTACCATAGATTCAACTAGGTATCCGTGGATACTGCATGGTTTAGAATATTCGGAATATTCTTCGTTACAGGTGTATTCGGAAAAAGAATATTCGTTCGCTTCGTTCAGCATTCGGTTCAGCCCTAATTTTGGCCTTGGTCCATCATCAGAATTGATAAGAAACAGACAGTGAGGTGGCCCTCCTACATGTATACTACAGTTGCGCTCTTTGAAATCCGACCCAGAGTGCACATTTGGCGCCCTGTTTTTGCGCGGCCCTTGACGCCTTGGGAGTGGCACAAATGCGGCTGGACGTACACATGTAGAGATGCGATGATGTCATCAAAACTGGTACAGGGCGTCAGTTTTACACTTTGGGTTGGATTTCACCGAGCGCAACTGTAGTACAGTCGACTCCTGATATAACGAACGCCATTGTGCAGGAGAATTTGTTCTTTACAGCCGAAGTTTGTTATAACAGGAATGCACTCACACTGTATAAGCAGCAAGTCATGACTGGCAAGTGGCCCACTACCGTATGAGTTCACTTGGTTTTCATGCGGGCCTTCAAGCCTGATATGGTTCATTATAAACGAAATGGGTTCGCTATGCAGGGTCAATTTTGTATGGGTTCAAACAGGGACATGGACAATGGTTTGCTACCATGAAATTCGCTATATGCGAGTTCGTTATAAGTGGAGTCGACTGTATAATTTGTATACATAGTACTGTACTGGACA